GCCATTTGGATGTCTTCTTTGGAAAAATGTCTGTTCATGTCTTCTGCCCATTTCTTGATTGGATTCTTTGTTCTTTGGGTGTTGAGTTTGATGAGTTCTTTATAGATTTTGGATACTAGCCCTTTATCTGATATGTCATTTGCAAATATCTTCTCCCATTCTGTCGGTTGTCTTTTGGTTTTGTTGACTGTTTCTTTTGATGTGCAAAAGCTTTTTATCTTGATGAAGTCCCAATAGTTCATTTTTGCCCTTGCTTCCCTTGCCTTTGGCGATGTTTCTAGGAAGAAGTTGCTGTGCGTGAGGTCAAACAGATTGCTGCCTGTGTTCTCCTTTAGGATGTTGATGGACTCCTGTCTCACATTGAGGTCTTTCAACCATTTGGAGTCTATTTTTGTGTGTGGTGTAAGGAAATGGTCCAGTTTCATTCTTCTGCATGTGGCTAACCAATTTTCCCAACACCATTTGTTGAAGAGACTGTCTTTGTTCCATTGGACATTCTTTCCTGCTTTGTCGAAGATTAGTTGACCATAGAGTTGAGGGTCCATTTCTTGGCTCTCTATTCTGTTCCATTGATCTATGTGTCTGTTTTTGTGCCAGTACCATGCTGTCTTGACGATGACAGCTTTGTAATAGAGCTGGAAGTCTGGAATTGTGATGCCGCCGACTTTGCTTTTCTTTTTCAACATTCCTCTGGCTATGTGGGGTCTTTTCTGGTTCCATACAAATTTTAGGATTATTTGTTCCATTTCTTTGAAAAAAGTGGATGGTATTTTGATGGGGATTGCATTGAATGTGTAGATTGCTCTAGGTAGCATTGACATCTTCACAATATTTGTTCTTCCAATCCATGAGCATGGAACGTTTTTCCATTTCTTTGTGTCTTCCTCAATTTCTTTCATGAGTATTTTATACTTTTCTGAGTACAGATCCTTTGTCTCTTTGGTTAGATTTATTCCTAGGTATCTTATGGTTTTGGGTGCAATTGTAAATGGGATCGACTCCTTAATTTCTCTTTCTTCTGTCTTGTTGTTGGTGTATAGGAATGCCACTGATTTCTGTGCATTGATTTTATATCCTGCCACTTTACTGAATTCCTGTATGAGTTCTAGCAGTTTTGGGGTGGAGTCTTTGGGTTTTCAACATAAAGTATCATATCATCTGCAAAGAGTGAGAGTTTGACTTCTTCTTTGCCAATTTGGATGCCTTTGATTTCTTTTTGTTGTCTGATTGCTGTGGATAGGACTTCCAATACTATGTTGAATAGTAGTGGTGATAGTGGACATCCCTGCTGCGTTCCTGACCTTAGGGGGAAAGCTCTCAGTTTTTCCCCATTGAGAATGATATTTACTGTAGGTTTTTCATAGATGGCTTTTATGATATTGAGGTATGTACCCTCTATCCCTATACTCTGAAGAGTTTTGATCAAGAAAGGATGCTGTACTTTGTCAAAAGCTTTTTCTGCATCTATTGAGAGGATCATATGATTCTTGTTCTTTCTTTTGTTAATGTATTGTATCACATTGATTGATTTGCGGATGTTGAACCAACTTGCAGCCCAGGGATAAATCCCACTTGGTCGTGGTGAATAATCCTTTTAATGTACTGTTGGATCCTATTGGCTAGTATTTTGGTGAGAATTTTTGCATCCATGTTCATCAGGGATATTGGTCTGTAATTCTCCTTTTGGATGGGGTCTTTGTCTGGTTTTGGGATCAAGGTAATGCTGGCCTCATAAAATGAGTTTGGAAGTTTTCCTTCCATTTCTATTTTTTGGAACAGTTTCAGAAGAATAGGCATTAATTCTTCTTGAAATGTTTGGTAGAATTCCCCTGGGAAGCCATCTGGCCCTGGGCTTTTGTTTGTTGGGAGATTTTTGATGACTGCTTCAATTTCCTTAGTGGTTATAGGTCTGTTCAGGTTTTCTATTTCTTCCTGGTTCAGTTTCGGTAGTTCATACATCTCTAGGAATGCATCCATTTCTTCCAGGTTATCTAATTTGCTGGCATAGAGTTGCTCATAATATGTTCTTATAATTGTTTGTATTTCTTTGGTGTTGGTTGTGATCTCTCCTCTTTCATTCATGATTTTGTTGATTTGGGTCATTTCTCTTCTCTTTTTGATAAGTCTGGCCAGGGGTTTATCAATCTTGTTAATTCTCTCAAAGAACCAGCTCCTAGTTTCGTTGATCTGTTCTACTGTCCTTTTAGTTTCTATTTCATTGATTTCTGCTCTGATCTTTATGATTTCTCTTCTCCTGCTGGGTTTAGGCTTTATTTGCTGTTCTTTCTCCAGCTCCTTTAGGTGTAGGGTTAGGTTGTGTACTTGAGACCTTTCTTGTTTCTTGAGAAAGGCTTGTATTGCTATATACTTTCCTCTTAGGACTGCCTTTGCTGCATCCCAAGAGTTTGAATAGTTGTGTTTTCATTTTCATTGGTTTCCATGTATTTTTTAAATTCTTCTTTAATTTCCTAGTTGACCCATTCATTCTTCAGTAGGATGCTCTTTAGCCTCCATGTATTTGAGTTCTTTCCGACTTTCCTCTTGTGATTGAGTTCTAGTTTCAAAGCATTGTGGTCTGAAAATAGGCAGGGAATGATCCCAATCTTTTGGTACCGGTTGAGACCTGATTTATGACCTAGGATGTGATCTATTCTGGAGAATGTTCCATAGGCACTAGAGAAGAATGTGTATTCCGTTGCTTTGGGGTGGAATGTTCTGAATATGTCTGTGAAGTCCATTTGGTCCAGTGTGTCATTTAAAGTCTTTATTTCCTTGTTGGTCTTTTGCTTAGATGATCTGTCCATTTCAATGAGGGGGGTGTTAAAGTCCCCCACTATTATTGTATTGTTGTCGATGTGTTTCTTTGCTTTTGTTATTAATTGCCTTATATAATTGGCTGCTCCCATGTTAGGGGCATAGATATTTACAATTGTTAGATCTTCTTGTTGAATAGATCCTTTAAGTAGGATATAATGTCCTTCCTCATCTCTTATTACAGTCTTTGGTTTAAAATCTAATTTGTCTGATATAAGGATTGCCACCCCAGCTTTCTTTTGGTGTCCATTAGCATGGTAAATGGTTTTCCACCCCCTCACTTTCAATCTGGAGGTGTCTTTGCATCTTAAATGAGTCTCTTGCAGACAGCATATCGATGGGTCTTGTTTTTTAATCCAGTCTGATAGCCTGTGTCTTTTGATTGGGGCATTTAGCTCATTTACATTCAGGGTAACTATTGAAAGATAGGAATTTAGTGCCATTGTATTGCCTGTGAGGTGACTGTTACCGTATATTGTCTGTGTTCCTTTCTGGTCTATGTTGCTTTTAGGGTCTCTCTTTGCTTAGAGGACCCCGTTCAAGATTTCTTGTAGGGCTGGTTTTGTGTTTGCACTTTCCTTTAGTTTTTGTTTGTCCTGGAAGCTTTTTATCTCTCCTTCAATTTTCAGTGACAGCCTAGCTGGATATAGTATTCTTGGCTGCATATTTTTCTCATTTAGTGCCCTGAATATATCCTGCCAGTCCTTTCTGGCCTGCCAGGTCTCTGTGGATAGGTCTGTTGCCAATCTAATGTTTCTACCCTTGTAGGTTACATATCTCTTCTCCCGAGCTGCTTTCAGGATTTTCTCTTTGTCTGTGAGACTCGTAAGGTTTACTATTAGATGTCGGGGTGTTGACCTATTTTTATTGATTTTGAGAGGGGTTCTCTGTGCTTCCTGGGTTTTGATGCCTGTTTCCTTCCCCAAATTAGGGAAGTTCTCTGCTATAATTTGCTCCAGTATACCTTCTGCCCCTCTCTCTCTTTCTTCTTCTTCTGGGATCCCAATTATTCTAATGTTGGTTCGTCTTATGGTATCGCTTATCTGTCGAATTCTGCCCTCGTGATCCAGCAGTTGTTTATCTCTTTTTCTCAGCTTCTTTATATTCTATCATTTCATCTTCTATATTACTGATTCTTTCTTCTGCCTCATTTATTCTAGCAGTTAGTGCCCCCATTTTTGATTGCACCTCATTAATAGCCTTTTTGATTTCTACTTGGTTGGATTTTAGTTCTTTTCCTTCTCCAGAAAGGGTTTCTCTAATAACTTCCATATTTTTTTCAAGCCCAGCTAGTATCTTCAAAGTGATGATTCTGAACTCTAGATCTGACATCGTACTAATGTCCGTATTGAGTAGATCCCTGGCAGTCGGTACTACCTCTTGTTCTTTTTGTTGAGGTGATTTTTTCCGTCTTGTTATTTTGTGCAGAGGAGCGTAGATTAATGAGAGAACAAAATGCTAGCAGAGTAACAACGTCCCCAGAAAATATACTCTAAACAAATCAGAAAAGACCTTCCAGGAAGTGGTCACTTTTCTGTTCAGAGAGTTGTTGCTATTCCTTTCTTTGATCTTCTGTTGGGTTTGTAGGTGTTCAGACTGGTTTGATCCCTATCCAGCTGAATTCCTGAGAGGAGACGAAATCCAGGTCTCCTACTCCTCCGCCATCTTGCTCCGCCCCCCCTGTTTATTTTTTTAGTTGTTGAGTTTTTGGTGTTCTCTTTATATTTTGGATATTAATTCCTTATGCAGAAAGTGATTTGCAAATATTTTCTTCCATTCTGTGAGTTTCCTTTTTACTTTGTTCGTAGTATTTTTTGATTAACAAAAGCTCTTGGGGTGCCTGGGTGGCTTAGTCTTTGGGCGTCTGCCTTCTGCTCAGGTCATGGTCCCAGGTTCCTGGGATAGAGCCCGCATCGGGCTCCCTGCTCTGCGGGGGGCCTGCTTCTCCCTCCCCCTCCCCCTGCTTGTGTTCCCTCTCTCGCTGTGTCTCTCTCTGTCAAATAAATAAATAAAATCTTTAAAAAAAAAAAGCTCTTAATTTTGTTGAGGTTTAATTTGTCTGTCTTAATTTTGTCTTAATTTTGCCTTTGGTGTCCTATCCAAAAATCATTGCAAAACCCAGCATTGTGAGGCTTCTCCCGCCTTAGCTTTCTTATAAGAGCTTAATTTTTTTTTTATCTTTATAGGGTTGAACTGTGGAGAGAACCAAGCAAATCTTTGGGCATCAGCATTGTTGGTGGAAGAGGCATGGGGAGTCGTCTAAGCAACGGTGAAGTGATGAGGGGCATTTTCATCAAACATGTTCTTGAAGATAGTCCAGCTGGCAAAAATGGAACCTTGAAACCTGGAGATAGAATAGTAGAGGTACCCTCTAGTGAGCTTTCTGTGCCTAAGTTCTTCACCTGTTCCGTCCTCTTTACTAAGGGAATCATCATCTTTATACTGGTCATTTGACCCAACGTGAAAGTAAAATGTTTTATGGTTAAAGCATTTCTTTCTTATATGTCCCATTTCATCCATAATTTTTCTCTTTAGTGCATGGTGACAGATTATATATCTTGATTCAGAGACTGATGTTTGGAGATATAACCGTTTTAAAAAAACATTGGCCCTGTGTTAAAATAATGAAGTTCTATTTGAAAGAACAAGCAAATTTCCTGGGGAAAAAATGGAATTGTTTGAAATTATGTATACATGCACAAAATATATACATCTGAACTAAGTTCTCCAGTCAGATTTTATTTTAAGAAATGCTTTGTCATGATCATTTCATTGTAGATTAACTTTGTTGGGTAAGATTGTTTTCCAAGTGAGTCTTTATGGTAAATCTTTTATGCTAATTACCCTGATTATCTTTTACATAAATGCTCCCACCCCCACAATCCAGGCTCAGATTTTCCTCCTCCTTCTTCTCAGTGCTGTGCCCATTCATCACTGAGGAGTGTGTGTGTGTGTGTGTGTGTGTATTTACACACTCATGTATGTGTAACTTTGGTATGTGCAAGAGAAGTATTTGGTCAAATTGTTCCTAATCTCTTAATTCAAATCAAAATATAATATTTTAAATGGACTTTTCTCCATGGTCACTACTCATTTGCTCAGCAAATATTCCTGGAGCACCTGTTGCGTTCCAGGTGCTATGACATGCTCGGGGTATTCTGCAGGAAACAAGCACCATGCTTGCTGTCAAGTGTGACAGACTTAACAAGTCATCAAGTCACTTCAGAACAGTGTGATAAATTATTTGATCAGGGAAAGTGTAGTTTTAGTTAAGAGGGTAGAGGGAGGGTACCTGACCCAGATTTGCTAAGTTGTCAGGATTTATAGAGTAGAGTAAAAGAGACAACTTCCCAGTAGAAACCAATCACTTTATTGCTATAAGGACCATTATATTTACTTTATACAAGTGATTGTCTCTCATTTTCTAAATCCATATAACTTACCATTAAAATGCATTAATTTCATAGAAGAAGGCTACAACATTTTAACCACAACTTTAAAATGAACATTTTTAGGATTTATTTATTTAGTCCTTTACTGGTTGATTGTGAGAGCTGAAGACGAGGAAGATTGAGGCTTGGGAGGACACAAGGGTCATGTCTGTTTTGTCTTGTTTTTATCTCCAACCATTTGGAAGAAGAATGATGGGCTTGTTCTCTCTTCCTGCATCCTTACCTTTCATTAGGGGATATCTTAGCACCTTTTTAAAGAACTCTTATTTAGGATACTATCTAAAGTTCCCAATTTCAGATTATCACAGGGCAGTTTATTTTATGGCTAATTCACTGTTGAATTATCAGCACCTTTGACCTAAGGAGAAAAAGTAAGAAATATTTATAATTATTTCTGGAAAGGATTGATCACAGTTGGCACCAGAATGTTGTTTAAATGTATTGAGGGAGTTAAAGCCTCCCTTTCAAATTGAAAAGGTATTTTTTTTGTGTGTGTGTTGCAAAGTACTCTGTGCTATTTAGCAGTGATTTGTTGAGGGCTGTTATGTACGGGGACTTTTCTAGTAAGTAAGAAAGCTTAGGCCTCTGTAATCCTGGGGATTCGGAAACCTACGTCTGCCAAGTATTTAGACTAGACTAGTCGAGACCTACCAGGTATTCTATTCTAAGTATATAGAGTTCTTTGGACTTGAGCAAAGATACTTAATGTCCTATTAAATGTTTCCACAAATGGAATATATAATAGACATGAGTACTAACTTTTATTCTACAAAAAAATGAAAGCCATTTTTAATATGCACTGAAATGCATATTACATTATCCAAGTATCAACCTGGGGAGGTTTTCAGTTAAATGTATGTAATTCTTTTAAAGGTGATAATGTTCTATGCAGAGATCTAATAATTAATTTTCTTTTCCAGAATTGTGTCTACTCTGATTTTGCTATTTTGTTATATATATCCTATTGTGTGATAATTGGAAATGATAAAATGATAATAGTATCCTATAGTTTTCTGGCAGGATTAGCATTTGGCCTTTCAAACTATTTTCCTTCCTATTCATATAGTATGTTAGCTGAGCTGATTATCACCCAGGCAATCCATGGTCAATAAAAAGTTACAAAATAACATTCATTTTCAAGCTATTTATAGAAGAATTACTAACAAGCACAATTTCTTGGCTTCCAGCTCCTATCATGTCTACTACAAAGATTCTTCTGCAAAACTAATCTTGCCATAACCTGATTTTTCTGAACATCAGAATTTTATTTTTCACTTCAAGCTTCCCTGTACAGAGAGAAACACACAAAGCATCGCCCACCCATTTCCCAAACTAGTCTATAATGGATCGGGAGAAAATGTGTACAGTGACTTTCATGCGAGGCAGTTCCCTTATATTATTTCTTTAATGATTTTGATTTATTGAAGGAACAACGGATAGTGTAAAGAAAGCAGAAGCAGAGCCTTCATGTCAACTGATGATTATTTCAGTTGGTTTTGGACCCAGAAATCAGGGTCCAAAATAAGGGACCACAATCTGCTGGACAAATGCAAAGTTCTGGAATCTCACAAGTAGTCTCAATTATTTTTGATTCTGAAACAGATTTTCCAGGAGCCTCACCCAGGATCCTCAGAACTACAGATCCACAAATTGTTCTGTTGTTCTATAGCTTCTTGAAATGTTAAGCTGAGGCCTTCCATTGCAGGTGGATGGAATGGACCTCAGAGATGCAAGCCATGAGCAAGCTGTGGAAGCCATTCGGAAAGCAGGCAACCCCGTAGTCTTTATGGTACAGAGCATTATAAACAGACCAAGGGTAAGCGAACAAAAAGGGCAAGGTAGGCAAATCCAAACAATGTTCAACTTGGAGTCTAATGTATCAAGGGCCAAGTTGTCTCTAGGAGCAGATATCCAGTCTTGAAATCTCAGGGGACTTGTTAAAACTTTATATTGTTTTTTGTTTTTTGGTTTTTTTTTTGAGTTGTCCTGGAAATCCCTTCTACCATGTTTAATAAACACTTCAAGTCTATTAAAAACATACAGAAGTAGGATCCATTGGTGGCCATAGGTATCTAGATGGATAATTATTAGTATTCACCATAGTCACAAAATATATGTTGTTAAGAGGAATGTGGTAGAATGACTTAGCTTACTAGTGTATGACCTCTGAGTTCCTGAGAAGCCAGAGAGATTACATTTTCTTATGTATATATCCTCTAGACAGAATTTCCAATGTATGCAATCCCATGATCACCTGTGAATCATCTTGAATGTATTTACCTGTCCCACTGAACATTCTACATAGTGGAAATTTAAGCAGTATGTTTATATAGGAATGATTTCATTACTGCTGCTTCCCAGCCATGATCACTGTATAGCTCTTCATCACTGGATAGCCCCCTGTGGACAGAAACCTACTAAGCCATTTTACCATCAGGCATGACAGGTAAAATGGCTTTAAAAATATTTTAGAAAGTACAGTGGATGCATTTAATTAATGTTGTTGATGGAGAAGATACTAAGCGAGTCTTTGTGTATTTGATATGCCCTAATGATTCTGAAGATGAAAATTATGCCAAGAGTTTAAAACTATTTTTTTACTATTCCTTCTTTATGTCTCAGTGAAAAAGATTATTTGCATATGCAGCAGTTCTTAAGCATATTTGGGCCACATACCCCTTGGAAAGTTCTTCAGAAACATATGTGTTCACTGAAAAGTTTGTGTATCATTTTAGGAGCTTCCTAGATGTTCTGAAACTCATAGAAGTTCTACTTCTGGATTTTAGTGAAAACAAAACAACCCCTGTCATAGTGATTCTCTTTGAAACAGCTGCTCATTAGCTTTGAGGTTTGGTTGTCTTTAAAAGGAAAATGTCAACATATGTGAGGGAAATTAAAAGAACCATCTAAAACTTTAAAATATATAATTATTTTGTAGTTTATCATTTTAAAATTAAGAATATAAGAAATCAGTGCTCAAATGATGGAAAGAGAGTAGCAAACAGCTCTGTAGCCGAGATCAGTAAAAGTAACTTGTCAGTCTTCTGTGCAATGGAATTCAAAGTGACCAAATTTATCCTGTTGGTCCTTCCTTTTGTTGTCAAGACAGGTGTAGCTGTGGTCTGGGTTTACTGTAAGAAATGAATTTAGTAGTTCTTAATGTAAGCAGTTATCTTCACATCTGCAGTTTTTAATCATTCAGTTGTTTATTGTTAGGTAATAATTATCCATTCAGATGAGAAAATCTGCCAAATGGTCGGGCTGCATCATGCTGCATTCTCTTCAAATGGTATTCAGTTTGTTTAAATAACTACAAATCTTTCCACATTTGTTTCCATTTGTTGTGTCAAACATAGATACAGCACGATGGTATTGGTGAATGGCTGTTTAAGTTAAAACAGTTTTTTTTGTGTGTGTGTGTGTTCTATTCCTTTTGTTTTATTTTTAATTTCCAACTTTTATATCATGTAGGACAATACTGTAAACTGCTGAATAGGATTCTTCATAGTACTTTTAAAAACTTAAACTACAAACATTTCTTTCAATGCCAGTCACATTTTCTAATGAGCTGGGACGATATTTTTCTCATACACCTGGAAAATATTCCTGTTTTACTGTCTGAGGTATAATGACACTTGATTTTATAGCAATTATTCCAGGAGAAATCTTGCCTAGAGTGACATGTTTAGTCAAGTTACATGTGACAGGATTCAGGGCACACTGCCCCAAAATAGGGCACACTGGCATATTGAATATTTTAAGCTGAAGGAATTTAGGAAAAGACAGCTGCTGGAATGATTCAGACCTCCCCCTTCTCCCCTGATTCAGGTCATAAAAACCCTCATGTGAAAGGTGCCTTCCCCGTACCTGGAGGAAAGGAACATCCTTACCTTCAGAGATGCAGGGGTACTGGGAGGGACCTGAATGAACACACCTTGCTAAGTTTTCCCCCGTTTCCCCACTTAGCTCATATTCTTTTGTCCTGTCAAATTTCCCTGACTTTCCTACTCTTCAGCAAACCTAGTGTCAAAATACTCCTGTTTAACCATTTCTTCAGGTCTTCACTATCTTTTGAAGGCTGTGTGTCACATAAAAGTTAACATTAAATCAATACATATATATATACTTTTCTCTTGTTAATCTGTTTTTTATTACAGAGATCCAGCTGAGAACCTAAGATGAATAGAGGAAAGATATTTTTCCTCCTCTGCATATGCATTCAGCTTTGAGAAATCAGAATTACTTTTGCATTTAAAATGGGATATACTGGATTTTCAGTGATTTACTTCCTTGTGAAATAATCATGTCTCCAGTAATCTAAAGGAAAAAAAAAAAACAAAAAAACACAAATACATAAGAGTCTCTCAATGGAAAATGTTTTATTTGTAGATGCAATAAAACTTCAACAAAAATCTCATAGATAGGCTGAAAAGACAGTCTCTCTTTGGCACATAGACTATTCAAGAATCAGAACTTCGCAGAACTGAGAATAATAATAATAGTAATATTTAGTAATAAATTCCATACTTACTGATTTATTACTGACCATTCCATCAGTTGGACCACATTGTCTTCCCAAAGAGTAGGCCCTATTAATATGGGCCAGAGAATGTTTTTGTCTTCCCTGTGCTTCTTCTTAGTTAATAATATTTCCATTCCTATCAGCCCTTAGAACTATAAACAGGAGTTTCATCATTTATTTTTTAATAAGAAATATGGCCTGTTTCTATAATTCTTTTCATAGTAATAGATCTACCACTTCATTTGCTGTGCTCATGCTGTACTTTTATACTTTACTATCAGGGCCAAATTCTAATCCTATAAGAGCTGGAAATTGAAACAAATAAAAAAGCAAAACAAAAAACTAGAGCTCTCTCTAAATATTCCATTTCTTGCCATTATGGTTCTATTTTTTTATTGTTCTACAGAATTATAAAGGAAATAAAAAGCCTAAAAATTCTATGTATGAGGATTGGAAATAATTTTCACCTTCCATAGCACTGAGTTATTTTGCCTAGAATATGTTTTTAATCTCTGCCTAGTCATTTTTTCCACCTTAATAAATGGTCGTGTTCCTTGGCATTTGTGGTCTTTTTCTTTTGTAAAGTAGGAGTTGACATTTAAACTGAAAAGCAGAGAGAAAGTTGAGATGAGCAGAAATGTCATTGTGCCCATTTCTTTTTCCCGTCTTCCCTCTGTAGGAAAAACATTGCAAGAAGAGCAGATTGAAAGGGTAATGTGGCGTAAGCTTTAGTGCAGGCGTACGGAGGATGGAGTCTTTCCAGAGTGTTCTCCCAGACAGGATGGTATCACATGACAACCTCTCCTTACTCTTGATGCTTGCCAGTAGGGCTTTTTTATAGACAGAAGTAACACAAACATTTAATTGGAGCCAAAATGAATTTTAAATGTCTGCAATTTTCCCTGAAAGATACAGTCAATAAAAGAAAAAGATAGCGGGTATGAAAAGAAGGAGAAGAATTTATTGTGCTGAGGAAATTACTTTCCTTTTTTTTTTTTTTTTTTACTATGAAAATGCTAAAGTCTATCTGGCAGTCATCCTGCCTTTAATATGTATATTCAACTCCAATAGTCCTAGCTCAGGGCATATCTCAAGCAAACACAAAATCTATGAGAATCACTCTAAGCCAGGACTTCTAATATATTCAAAGCCTCATAAATTCCCCCTAATATGGGAACTTTTATAGGTAAATTAAAAAAAAAAATCAATGTTTTTACTCCACAAAAAGTGGATAGAAATCCAGAATACCCACTGAACAGTGGTTCATTTCTTTAAAATTGTTGATTTCTTTTTTTTTTTAAATGAAAAACTACCATTGATTGGAAGCCACCTTAATCTCTAGCCTAAATACGATAATTTTCCTTCCTGGGAAGCAAGATACAAGAATCATGAAGGTTACCAGTGAACTAGCAGACAAATGTTTAATTTACATTCTGGAACAGATAGACCATCTTTTTATTTTACAAAAACATAATTTGCTTTTAAATGTAAGCCAAAAAATGATGGCTTTAATTTTGATACCTGTTTACTGATATGCGTGGAACATAGATAAATACATAAAGTGGGCAAAATTTATGTACATCTCTCTGTGATAGTGAAAATAAAAGAAATTTGGTATCAATTTCCCAAACTCATTTCCTTTGTGGCCAGATTGAGATTCAGGTGTAGATGCAGATCACTAGAGGTAAACGACTGTTTAATATGACGTTGTTATTAATCTCTAGATCTGACAGGATCTGGTTTCACACTGTTATTTCAATCAGTACTTTGTTCTTAAAACTGAGTTGTGTTAAATACATTTCTTTTGCGCTCAGCGCCTCTTATGTTTCCTTTTAGAAATCCCCTTTGCCTTCCTTGCCGCACAACCTTTACCCTAAGTACAACTTCAGCAGCACTAACCCATTTGCTGATTCTCTACCGTTCAACGCTGACAAGGTTGGATAATGCCATTGTCTTGCCATTGCCTTTTGCAAATGTTTTGTTCTTTGTTACTATGCCTTTGTCCTAGTTCACTGTTTACTAAATTTGGGCAGGGAAGAAAACAAAACAAAGCAAAACTGTGTGTTTGGAGTGGGCATGCAAATCCTTTCTTAAGCACATTTTTTTTGCCAGAGCATATTCATTTTTATAGCTGAAATTAGATGGCCCTCCTGAACAGTAAGGGAGAATCGTGAGTCCAATGCCTTTCCTCAATTTTGTTGTGAGTTAAATTTTCTGATATTTAAATTTTTGCTAATTGCCAAATATATGAACTACTTTCACACACAAGTTATTTGAAGCCTTGTATTGGTTTAATCCTTCTCAGACTTCTACAAGGTGGTCCTAAAAGCCCTTCTGTGTGAAAATCACTCCACAAATAATTGCATATATCACGGAGTGTGTTGAATGTTCATAAAGTGTGTCCATGTAAATGCCTGATTCAGGAAATATATAACTGTTTCAATGCTTGTAAACCTAGACGTGGATATTCTCATATAAAGATGAAATTTCAAATCCAAAATGAAACAAAAACTTACAAGAACTTGCATATTATAATTTGATCATGATAAGGAAGAAAGCTTTCAACAATTTCAGGAAGCACTTTATGAATATTCATTGGATTTTCATGTTACTGTAATATGGATAACCAAAGATGCTGTATCTGAAGGAGTATGTTTTCTGTTACTATAGGAATTACAGAATTCAAGTAGAGTTACCTTCCGTTGTTCCCCAACTAACCCTTTTGCTCCCACACCATTTAAGGTTTGTCTCAGTGTGAAATGCTCGTGAATAAGTAGGTGTGTTATGGTGTGCTATGTGTGTATGTTATACCTGTATGCATACATGGCATGGAGTGATTTCAAGCGCACTTTGTATATTTTTGCCGATGAAGGCTAAACGATCTTTGTTAAAGAGTTATATTTTCATTAATAATTTTTTATGTGGCAAAATTTTTTTATTTTTTTATTTTCAATCACCCAACATATAAGTACATCATTAGTTTTTGATTAAGAAGTGTCAACAATAAACTAATTACATGATCTCATTGAGAATGAAGGTTTACACCTAATTGCCCCTTTTTGTAAGTACAGACTCGTATTTTTTTATGATTAGTCAGTAATGTTAGGATGCCATTTTAGTTTACTCACAGTATGAAAACGTTGTGCCTAAGAAAAGTCTTGAACAATTTTTTAGACGGGAAGGTTTTGTTTTTGTTTTTGTTTTTTAAGGTAAATGGCAGCTAAGGAAAGTTATGAAGCAAGACCTATTACATTTGCATCCATAAATTTATTAAAATTATGGGAAGTTTAAATCAGGTTTTGTTCCCCTTTTTAAAAATCAAATGGGCTTAATTTATTCTTGCTAACATTTTCTGTTACGATAGAGAAGTACTTTTTTTTATTTTAACCAGAAAAAATGTAAATTACATACTACCCCCTGTCCCAACCTTAGTATGTTAAATGAACCTGGATTGGATCAAATGAGGTTTCTTGTTTTTTGGTCATTTCATTTGTACACTGTTGATTTGAGAGTTTTATGGCACAGCATTTGAGAAGATGACAGGGTTTTGTTTGCCCTCGTACTTTATGTGTGTATGGCCAGTTGTGTGTAAACCAAACATTTTAAAACAGTAATTCTGTAACTTGAAAATCTGTTGCCTGTAAGTCTCTACCATTCAGCTCTCCTTTACTTTACTAGAAAAACAGTACTTGATGTTTATTGGGTTCACTTTGGGGCAGCTTAGAATCCTGAAGTGGTTTCTGAATCAACAAAGAAAGATCACATTCAGTGTTACATAGTTTTAGTATTAGGTATATTTTGTGGTATTCTGATTCTTGACACCAATTAATAATTCCTCAATATTTGTTCATGATTATCGTTTGATGTGTTCTATAGGAAGTTTATTTATTTTTGATCTTTTAAAGATTTTATTTATTTATTTGAGAGAACAGAGGGAGAGGGAGAAGCAGGCTCCCTGCTGAGCAGAGAGCCCGACGCAGGGCTCGATCCCAGGACCCTGAGATCATGACCCCAGCTGAAGGCAGACACCCAGGCTCCCCGGGAAGTCTTTTTAAATTGCAGTCTTTTCCACATATACACATGTATATCAAAATGAGGTATATCAGAGGGATTTTTGTATGTTTAAAAGGTAAAGAAGGAGAGGGAAAATGTAGTTTCAGGGTATCAGGGATAGCTTCATACCACAGCTAGAACTTTCACTGGGTACCTCTGTTGAATTCAGTACTCTCTTACTATGGAAATTGGAGGAGGTAGCATGGCATAATGGAAAGCTCATTGGATTAAGAATTAAGGCAAAAGAAATCTAGTACCAGTGTGATTTTGAACAAAATCTTCTCATGGCCTCACGTTTTTCATCTGCAAAGTGAATAAAATGAACTCAGTGACTTACGGGCCTTTCGAACACTAATATTCTATTTGATAATTATAATATAAGAACTTGATACCAAGTCCTTTTTTTGAAATAGGACCCATAGGCCCTCAGTGACAGCAAGTATGCCACACTTTGGGTTTGTAGCAGTGGTCTCTCATGTTTTCTCATTTACCTATCTTGCGAGCTATCTTGGCAAGGGAAGAATGGTGCTGTTCCTTAAAACCAGCTCCTCAGACCTGAGTCTGTGTGCTCTGTGCTAACAAACTGGCTCCCCTGGTTGATGAACCTGCATGTGTACTGCTCACTTTCATGGGTTTGTTAAGGGAGTCATTTGGAGAGAAGATTCAGGTATCAGTGAAGAATTCTTTATATATATATGTGTGTATATATGAGGTTTCTTGTTATATATATATGTTCAGACATATATATATAAAGTCTGACCAGCAACCACTGAACTTCTTTAATTGCTTGATTAACTTATTTGTTAATTTTGTTCTAGTTTCTTGGAAGACTTTTCTAGACCCACAAAATCTTATCCAGACCCCTGCATATTTATGAAGACTTTTGAATGAGAGTTTTTTTCCAAAAGGGGGAGTTTGTACAATTTTTTCTATCTTAAGTCATTTAAGCCTTCAAATTGAAGAATTCATTGGCCTAAAATACCAAGTAACAGTTTAATGAGTTATGCTCTGAACATATATTTTGTTTAGTATATTTAAACTTTACCTGAATCCTGTCTACCATTACATATTTTTTTTTCCATTATTTATGTGTCAGATATTTTAAAGCCAGTTTTTGTCATTATACTTTTATTTCTTAAATTTTTCTTCCTTGGACTGCACATATCCACTGCATTCTTCTTGTTCCCACAGGCACCCAGTCAGTCAGAATCAGAGCCGGAAAAGGCTCCATTGTGCAATGCGCCTCCGCCCCCTTCTTCAGCATTTGCAGAAATGAGCGGTGATCAGACACAGTCGTCTTCTGCAAGCAAAATCCCAGAAGATGTGGACAAAGAGGATGAGTTTGGTTACAGCTGGAGTAAGTTGTCTTTTGTGATGCATTGAGTTATAAGAGACATTAGAATAGCTTTGGGTTTCTCGAAGCCTATGTCCTGGTTGGATAAGCATGTTTCAGCTTTAGTTATACATACTGCAGTTTTGTTTGGAAAAAATACTGTTTGTTTTGCCTGAATACAGCACATGTTCCCAAGGCATGAAATCGTGTTCTTCCTTTCCCTTAAATGACCCTTCCTGCTAAAGCCCACTTTGCCATTGTGTGAGCGTTAAAGAGAGCTGGGCTCTCTTCTCTCTCAGAAGGATCTGCCACCTGATGATCCTGAACAAGTCATTGCCCTTCTCCAGACCTCAGATTCCTCATTGTAGAATCTGGCTGCTGGTGATATTTTGCCTTGAACCTCTGGCATTTTCTGTACTAGAGTGGTAACATGGAATAATTGTTGAGATGAAAACTTGGAGCGTTTGGCAAGTTGTAGAACTACTTCTAAGTCTTTGCCTGGTGGCTACCCTTCTTTTGAAAACGCAGTCCTTACCCGAGGTTGCTAACATTAAATTGAAATGTCTGAGGAGTGCTAACCACAATGTCTGATGCACAGGAAGCATTTAGAGGCAGCTGTTATTAGGATCATTGGGGTGTCTCTTTTTTTTAATGAAATAAGCCTTTTTACAAGGAAATGGTAAAAATTTAGTGAAAAATTACCAATATATCAGTGCTTTAAAAAGTTTCATTTTGAAAGTATAATTATTTCCTTTAAGAAAGCATGGCATATGCTTTTAGGAAGTGTACAGGATGTGAAATGCTAGATTCTAGAAGGAATCAGGAAATGACAGTTTATAAAGTTGTGCGGTTAAGAATCAATATAGAATGTAAGACATCAGCTGCATAGTAACATTTTCTAAGAGATGATTTGCAGTTTGCGGTTTTCTAAGTCGATTTTCAGTTAAATAAGAGTATATTGCTAATCTATTGAGGTGGCCAGAATGTACTCTGAGGAAAACATGAGACAGAATGTCATGTCACAAGCCACCCCAAAACTTAATGCCATAAGGGAAAAGTTTATTATGGTGTCATGGTGTTGTGGTTGACTGGCCCAGCTGGGCTGGACCTTCAGGCTGGTGCACTCATGGGGCTGGAAATTAGTGTTGGCTCCTGTGGGCTAGGGTACCTGCATGCAGCCTTGCCCTCTCAGATTCAAGAATAAATTCTACCTCTTGAACGTGTCGGATGGGAGAGATTAATGGTCTTATCTAATGTGTCCTAAAGCTGAGACAGGGACATTGACTTGTCCTGGCCTGATGGCTCTGTGCAATAGGAAAATGCATTCCCTTTATTCTGGATCTACGTACCAAGCAGCTGCCCAACACGATGTGACACGCATGCCAATCTTCCTGTGGGAGAAAAAGTTCTGCTGATCAACGAAGATAAATCCTCTGAGTGCTTCTGTTCTTCTCTGCAAATGATTTTAATCAGAGTCTTTGGAGAGTTTGTTAATGTGAATCACCCGGGTGAACTGATCAGTCAGACCCTCCACGCTCTGTACTCTGGATGGAAAGAAATTCCTCAGAGTTTGGGTACTCCCGGAAACCAGTCTTGATGCCTAGGTGGCCAGATTATTTAGCTTTTCTTAGCTGCCAAGGATTTACATTTGGTCCAAGTAATGCCTTTTGAAGCTAAATAACCTTCCATAGTAAAACATTGGCTGTAAATTAACTTTATACCTATAATTTTGTTGTTGTTGTTACTGTTGTTGTTGTTGTTGTTGTTGTTTTATGTAGAAAATATCAGAGAGCGTTACGGAACCCTAACAGGAGAGCTACATATGATTGAGTTGGAGAAAGGTCGTAGTGGTTTGGGTCTAAGTCTTGCTGGGAACAAAGACCGATCCAGGATGAGTGTCTTTGTAGTGGGGATTGATCCAAATGGAGCAGCTGGAAAAGATGGTCGACTGCAGATTGCAGATGAGCTTCTAGAGGTAAGTTCTTGTGAAAGATGCTGAATTTACTCTTGCTGAATTGGTGCACTGGAATCATCAGTTTCCACCCGGGCCTCCTGTGGTGACTGAGAAAACTATTGCTTGCCTAATAAAATAGATGCACTGCAGCAAATTTGGCTGTAAACCAAATCTCTGCTAAGTAGAGTCCGTGTTCCCATTAACTTCCATTAAAAGGTTGTGACTGGGTAGCACCAGAAACAATTTTTGCCCCAAGACAGTAATAAAGATCACACTTCAAAAACATTTTTTTGTGTGCTGTATTTTTCTTAGTAGGTTTTGAAAAGCCAAATGACCAATCACTCCTCAGTAATGAGATTGACCCACTGGACATTCTGGAAGCTGAATTCCTAATGGTAGAAGTGATGGGGTTGGGGTGCAGTGGGGTCAAGGTTAAGGCTAAATAATGAAAACAGTAACTCAGCTGTCCAAACAGAATAAATTTCTGAACCATACTTTAGAGTGTTTAGAATTGCATTTGCTTGTTTTGGTTGTCCTAGCCTTCTGGAGACTGGGACCCACATGCCTTTATATCGCCTTAAAACTCTTCCTTCCATTCTTGTTTCTCCATTGGCTGGGAAAGCTCAGTCAGCAATGGCTAAATGACTAGATGACTGGCAGTTTCCAGTAGGTACTATTCTGCTTTGGTACTTTCTGCTTTCCAAATCCCGAATCTACCTGTGGTGCTCCTCCCCGTGGCCTAGTCCCAGGGCCTGAGTTTTGAGATTAACTAAGACCTATGACCATAGCGGGCTTCCCAGGTTGATCTGTGCAGGTCATTAGTGCCTCCAGGAGAGCCTTTGCTTTGTACAGAACACGCTGGAAGCCCGGTGCCTGCCAGGAAGTTTATGCTCTACTTTTCTACAGTCAGTCCAAGTGGTTCCTCTGTCATCTGTGGAGTCAGACCCACCTGCACATCATTTTTTTTTTTAATTTTATTCTTATGTTAATCCCCATACATTACATCATTAGTTTTAGATGAAGTGTTCCATGATTCATTGTTTGTGCACAACACCCAGTGCTCCATGCAGAATGTGCCCTCCTCAATACCCACCACCAGGCTAACCCATCCTCCCACTGCACATCATTTTAATGTTGGCTTTAAAACATGGGCTTGTCTTTTTTAAAGATTTTATTTATTTATTTGACAGAGACACAGTGAGAGAGGGAACGCAAGCAGGGGGAGTGGGAGAGGAGAAGCAGGCCTCCCGCAGAGCAGGGAGCCCGATGTGGGGCTCGATCCCAGGACCCCGGGATCATGACCTGAGCCGAAGGCAGCCACTTAACGACTGAGCCACCCAGGCACCCTGGGCTTGTCTTTATTCACCATCTCAGGTTCATGTTCTGGGAAGGAAAATACATATAATATTTTAAAAGAAGAAAAAAATGACCTTTTTATTAGCTAGATATGATAAGAATTAGCAAAACTAAAATTTCAGGCTCAATTAATGCTATTTGTTTCTCACAGATCAATGGTCAAATTTTATATGGAAGAAGTCATCAGAATGCTTCTTCAATCATTAAATGTGCTCCTTCTAAAGTAAAAATAATTTTTATCAGGTAAGCATTTTCTTTTTTTAGTTTACTAAATACTTTTTGTTAGTCTTTCAATTCAGAGTTCTTTTAAATGAAAATAAAACATTTCTAAATGTCGGAGTGTGTTATAGTCCCAGGTCTTTGGGGTTGCAGAATTTTCTCTAATAATCCTTCTGAGTCTTCAAGTAAAAGAATGAAAATAATATGAATCATTATGCTATCTATGATAGGTCATTGCTTTTTCTTTTAGAAATAAAGATGCGGTGAGTCAGATGGCTGTATGTCCTGGAAATACAGTAGAACCTTTGCCTTCTACCTCAGAGAATTCTCAAAATAAGGAGGTATGTATCTTGTGTTTGTTTCTCTGGGAAGATTTGATTGATACACTATGTATTAATTCAGCGAACAATTTATAGAGCCCTTACAGGAATATTAAAGATAAATGGCTCCTGGTCTTGGCCCCCAAGGAGCCTAGTACAAGAAACGCTCATGTAAATAACCACACCACTTCCATGAAGAGTCTGCATAGGGAATAATGAAGGTAGAAAAAGTTGTTAAGTCTCCTTCTGCAGAGATAGTGACAGTGAATCCCTAGGTGAGGTGACATGTGAAGTATGTGTTGGAAGTAGAAGACGCAGGGGGCAAAAACATTCCAAGCAGACGGCATGGACTAAGGGATAGCATGCAGGCTCTGGAAGATACAGGGAAGAAGAATTGCAGGGCATCACTGAATAGTGGGGGAGGCGGGGAATGGGGAGCTGGTGAGGAAAAGGTCACTGAGAAAGGGAGATTGGGTCAGATCATGGGAAGTGTGATGGAGACTTTGTCTTTGAGGCTTAAGGAACTCAAAGAGTAAGAATTGTATTTTTAAGCACTTCTCTGGAAATAGTGCAGAGAAAAATCAGAGGTTTCAAGGAAGAGAAGTTAAGGTAAAGGGAGTAAGAAAATTATCAGAGTAGTTCAGGAGAAAGTTATTGAGGGCCTGAACTAATGCAAAAAAATAAAGAAGGAAGAAAGAAAGAAATGATTAAGTCAGTAGTTGCAGAAGTTTAGGATCCAACTTAGCATTACCTTATCCCTAACTAAATGTACTCCATAAGAAACAACGAGTGGTTGAGAATCTGTTTACCTGACAAGTTTTTATTATCTGCCCTATGCCAGGTACTGCTTTTTGGGCTGGGAATAGGCTGGTGAATGAGACAGACAAGATGTAGACAGCTTCCGGAAGACTGACGTGGTGACTTGGTGGATGGCTGACTTTTACCAGAATAGAAAAAATTAAAAAGCAGATATTTGTAAAAATAGAAAACAGCTTTAGGGTGGAGTGCGGTTGAAGAGCCTGGTAGAGATGTACATTGGGACATTTAGTCTAGAGTTTAGAGACAAATTCCCATAGATGCATATTTGTCATTTGTTAGCCATGGGAGCTTAGGCTCTTCCGTACAGAGAATACTTAGAAAGAAGAGGGCCAATGTCAGAATTCTTTAATAACAACAAGGAAGAAGCCTAACAAAGAGTGGTCAGAGGTAACAAGGAAGGACCAAGCAGGCACAATGCCTGGCAGCCAAAGAGGGCACATTTCAAGAAGGGTATATTCTACGATCTTGAATGCCAAGGAGAGGTCAAGTAAGGAGATGAATAGAGCCCATTGGACTTGGCAACCAGCTGATTACTAGTGTTTTTTTTAGAAAGCAAATGATGGATAAAAAAGAAAGCATGACCTATGACCATAGCGGGCTGATTCACTAGAGCTGTGAATCAGCCCCGTCACGTAGCCTGCTGGGGGGCACGGGGGGACAAGGCCCAGAGTGTCCATCTAAGCTGCTTCAGGTTGACCAGGACACTTGGGTGAGAAATCTGAATGGGGCTGATCCCAGTGTCAGGGGCTTGGCTCTCACCTCTGTATCTGAGTCTCTGCACACCCTTCAGGCTGAGGACCCGTGTCCCAGAAGCTTCCTCTCCACCTTTCCTGCCCTTGGAAGGGCCTATCTAGGGGCTGGACCTGCCTCCACAGCTTCCCTCAGAGCTAGAGGGTAACATAGAGTTTTTTGGTGTGCCAAAGCCTCAGATCCTTGTTAAGGATGAATAAAAGGCATAGAGAATGAAAAGCTTAAAATGAGAGGAGCCATATCATTACAGTGCAAGAAGGTGCAGAAGCAGAAACACTCTTCCCTAAAGCAGTGTAAGCACTGGGCTGTCTATGTGAGGAGTGTCACTCGTTCTGGTGAACTGAGAAATCATTCGAATGGTGAACTGAGTTGAGTGGCTTTTCAAGATTATAAAGGAGAAAATTTTATTTTCATACAAATGTTACCACATAGAAAGCCCTTAAGAAAATGGAATATTTTTTTCCTTTTTTAAGATTTTATTTATTTATTTCGAGAGAGAGTAAAACATTTAATAGCTCCTAAATTCCTGTGATGACTAACATAGGGAAGAATAGTGGGTGGTGCCTCCGCTAGTGTCCTGTGTTTCAGTGAGTCTCACCGCGGGTAGCTGGGCTGTGATGAGATCTCATTAGAGAATAAATCCAGGAAGTCTTGAGAACCGCTTTGTGTCTCTGTGTTCTGAAATAATTTTTGTCTAATCATACCGTATTAGTATTTCGAAGAGAGTATAATGTTCATAAATGTCATGAAATGTTAATTATAACACATGAAATAATTTTGATTAAAGTGGCCCTTATTAAGCAAACAAAAATACATAACACTCAGTTGCCCATTTTACCATTTCTTCCCCTCTGTCAGGCTGAGCCAAGTGGTACTACTTCTGATGCAGCTGTGGACCTCTGTTCATTTAAAAATGTGCAACATCTGGAGCTTCCCAAGGTAAATCTGCTTTGAATTGGGATTTTTACACCAGTGATCTAATTCGCTGGTTCTCAGAATTGTGGTCTCTAGACCAGCAGCATCAGCATCACCTGGGATCTTGTTAGAAATGCAGATGTTTGGGCCCACCAAAACCTATTGAATGAGAAATTCTGGGGGTGGACCCGCAGTTTGCATTTTTATAAGCCTTCTAGGTGATTCCAGTGCACACAGACACTTAAGAATTATTGTGTTAATTGATACTTTAACGGGAACTAAGCTTTTCCTGCCTTTATGATTATCCCAAGGTATGACATTTGGCAGTCTTTCTCTCTTTTTTTTTTTTTAAGATTTTATTTATCCATTTGAGAGAGAGAGAGTGAGAGAGCACGAAAGTTGAGTGAGGGGCTGAGGGAGAAGCAGACTCCCTGCTGAGCAGGGAGCCGGATGCAGGACTCAATCCCAGGACCTTGGGGATCATGACCTGAGCAGAAGGCAGATGCTTAACCGGCTGAGCCCCCCAGGCGCCCCACTCCTTTGATACATTTACCAAGGGCCTGCTGTAGAGGAAATAAAAAGAAGAAAGAAACAAATTATAGTCTTTGTCCTTCATAAAACTCAAAGTTCGAATAGCTAGAAGTTTCACTGATAAGCATCAGTGAAGTATTTACTTTTGAAAAGATCTGGACCTTAGGTTCAAATGACCACTTTAGAGAGGTGGTTTGCTGAACAGAAACCTACAAATGCTTTCAGGTTCTGCAGGCTCATGCTGAAATGCAGGCAGGGACAGGGGTGGATGAAGGAGAATATTTGCAGAGAGAGCAGCAAAGTGCTCAGGGAGAAGAGGAAGGCAAGCCAGGGGGTGGGCATGGAGCAGGGGTATATTTACTGCAGGCAGAAAGAAGTGGCCAGAGGCCACTGTCCAGTTCTGAGACAGTGCAGCATGGTGCTTACAGGCCTTGACTCCAGAATCTGTGTTCAGCCCTTGCTTCCTCAGGTATACATCTGACACATTATGTGATGTTCTTTTGCCTCAATTTTTTCACCAGTAAATTGGAGATGATAATATTACCTTTGACCTAATTGTAAAGATTAAATGAGTCCTTTGTAAGTAGTTGGCATAATGCCTGACACACAGTCTGACTTTTTAAGCAAAAAAAGACTGTGATGCTATTGATTTGGTTTTGTTTTCACAATAAATGTCTGCAAAATGGATTGCCCTGGTCTTACTTACAGTACATTTAAAAGAAGTCGTTATTACACACACTTTGTGTTGTAGGTAGAAGGAAAAGAACAGAAGTCATTAAAGCTTTTTGCCTTTTCTACCAAGAAGTTCATACACTTCAGTTCAGGATCCCTCACTCTGTTGCCATTTGAGAGAGAAGATACCTTCCTTTTTCCCCTGTTGATTACAGATTTTTCCTTTTCCTCCTAAATCCCAAAGTATCAGAATTTATTTAAGAGTGCAGTCATTTCCCTACAATTTGTGAATTATGAAGCATTTAAATGTATGCTGGATTCATTATAATAAATGTTTTTTTTTTTAAATATATAGGTTTATGCTTATCTTTAGAAAAGCCCAAAATAAGATCATTTTTTTTTTTACATGCCTTTCATGGCATTGGCCTAATTTATTTACCTAGAGTTTAGGACATCCTAGAATATAATGAGTGCCCAGGAAATGTTGGGAGAATGACCCTGTTAAACAGATGCAGTATGAGCAAAACACTCTAGTGGTTGAGCTTGTAGACTAAAGCCAAACCTTCTGGGTCGGAGCCCTTCTTTGCCTCTTACAAGATGCTGGCTGGGACCTTGGACAGGGTTCTTAATCTGGACAATTTTCCCTCTACCAAGTGGAGATAATAATAGTACTCATCTCCTACATTTGTAGTGAGAATTAAATATATATTGTGTGAAGAGTCCAGTACCTTGCACTCATATATAAATACTGCCTGTTTTTTTTATTGTTATAATTATTAGAAAAGAATAAGCTGGCAGAGAGATGTCTGACTGCTTTCTGGTACCAGTTTTCTGTGATGCTGTCTCCTCCTGTCTTAGGCTACCTGATTAAGGTGTTCTGTAGATGTTTAATTGCCCTAATCCCCTATTCAGAATCTTTCAAGGACCTCCATTCTCAAACAGATAAATTCAAGTCTCTTGGCCTGGCATTCAGCAGTGGGGGGGTTGTGGGGGGAGCGGGGACAGAGGCCTGCTTTGTCTGTCAGAGGCCCTTCTGAGTGACCTCTGATAAAATATTTGGAAACTTGATCTCATTGGTCCCCACTTCTCTTCTGTAAATGGGGCTGCCTGTATCAGGGGTTACTGTTGAGATTCTTTAAGCTAATGAGCAAGCTCCCTTCATTCTACAGCTGGTCTCTGCCTTTAGCCTCCTGCTGACTTAATCAGCAGGTGTCTATTATGTGCACTTCCCTTTCTGAAGTAGTTGCTGTAGGGGAATCCAAGAACTTGAAGAAACTCCAGATTTTATTGCTCATGGAAAGCTTCCATTTATACATAGATTTCAAACAAATCTAAAGCTCAGGTAACTGAAATGTATTTTATTGATGAAGGCCAAAGTGAATAAGGGGGAATAGTCAAGAATCTTTTAGAATCAGCTGACGTTAGAGGCAATCAACTATGACTTCAAGTGTGGGCTTTCGGAGCCACTTAACTTTTCTGGGTCTCAGTTTCCTTGTCTATAGGATAGGGAAATAATGAAACCTTTATATTAGAAATATTTTTGAAGGATTAAATGAAAAAATCTGTATAAAGCACTTCGTGTGGTGTCTCTCCCAGGTGGATGGGAGCCCCCAGATGTGGGGCAACAGTCCTGTGGAAGCCAGTGACTTAGGAGGTGAAAGAATTCACCTGAGGCAGAACAAGGGCGATAGAAGGTTATTGAACACACCACAAGCAAGCAGCGGCCAGGGCTGCAGAGGAGAGGTTATCTGCCAGGAGGCAGTGGGTGGGGCTGTTTTTAAAGGGAGAAGGCAAGGAGGTAGGCACAGAGGTATGGAATTTTCCCTTTTTTGGCAATTGTGCCTGGTTGTGAGTAGCCCATTGGTCGGGTAGGGCTTATGGATATTTTGAGGTGGGTCACCTGATGCGTCCATCTGTATTCAGTCAGGGGGTCGTTGTGGGCCCTTTCTGCATTCCATCGCTCACCTGTTTGTCTGAAAGCGGCCTATGCTTCACACTGTTCAAGTCATTATTTTCCTTAATATTTTAACCATGAGGTTCTGAATGCTCCACAGAATGTGTGCTTAAAAACATCCTTTGAGGAGGCCCTTGCTAAAAATGACAGGTTAATGGGGCACCTGGGTGGCTCAGTCCTTAAGCGTCTGCCTTTGGCTCGGGTCATGGTCCCAGGGTCCTGGGATTGAGCCCTGCATCCAGCTCCCTGCTCGGCGGAGAGCCTGCTTCTCCCTCTCCCTCTGCCCCTGCTTGTGTTCCCTCTCTCAGCTGTCTCTCTTTCTCTGTCAAATAAAATCTTAAAAAAAAATGACAGGCTAAAAGACACAGCATACTATATAAGCCTGTCCACTCCAAACCCCATTATAAGTGGACTCTGCAAACAAAACTCAAGAAAGCAAAGAAGGGAGAATCAACCAGCCTGCTAACATTCATACCTCATCTGCAATTCTTTGTCATTTATAGCACCTTGTATTTTTAAAGATTATGATTATTTGAAAAAAATTAATGGTGAAGTCTCACGTGCATTGTTTACTTCTCAGCCACACTGTGAGATTGCTTTTATTTTCCCCACTTATAACAGTTCTCATAACTCAAAATGGTAGAGTTAGAACTTAAACTCTGGTCTTAAAGCTCCAAGTCCCATTTTCCGTTCCTTGTTTCAGCTTGCGACTGGGGCCCATTTACCTTTCCAAAACACCTATATGTTTCTTATAAGAATCTTCTACTTCATTCAAACTGACTTGTATCAAGAGCCCATGGCGATTTATTTTAAGAATTCATCCCTCCTTGGGCGCCTGGGTGGCTCAGATGGTTAAGCATCTGCCTTTGGCTCAGGTCATGATCCCAGGGTCCTGGGATCGAGTCCCGCATCGGGCTCCCTGCTCCTTGGGAACCTGCTTCTCCCTCTACCTCTCTCTCTCTCTCTCTGTCTCTCATGAATAAATAAATAAAATCTTTAAAAAAAAAAAAAGAATTCATCCCTCCTTGCCTTTGCTTATACAACTTGGGGTACCCTTCTGCTTTCTTTTAGATTACCTAAATCCTGTATGACTCAAGATCTAGCTTAATCTCATGTCTGTTTATTTTGAAATGTTCCTTCAATATTCTGGCCTATATAATGCTTACTAGTAATGTCTTCACTTATTTGTCATTTAACTGTGCCTGGCTCAAACATGTCTCTTGTGATAAACATTCATGTGGGTAAATTTTCTATACATCTATATTGAAAACATGTTGAAAAAGAAGAAGCTGTTATATTTTTTCTACCATTATCTCATATAGTATGGGGTAGCATAGTTCATACTAAGTATGCAGGAGGGTGGAAAGGATGAAGGCTTACATGCTGTGTGCACACAAGGGAAAAATGTCAAGTACAGGGGGGTCAGGAAGGAGAGAACGGTTTTCCTAACAGTCTTAAAACAGAAATTGTAGTAACAGGTCATTTGTAGTTAAGTTCTGACTCCTTAGAAACTCTCCAGACAGGTCAATTATCTTTTTTTTTTTTTTTTTAGGATAGAGAGAGTGCAAGGCTAGGGTGAAAGGGAGGTGGAGCGGGGCAGAGGTAGAGAATTTTTTTTTTTTTTAAGATTTTTTTTTTTTTAATTTATTCATTTGAGAGAGGGACGGAGACAGGAGACAGAAAGAGCTCAAGCAAGGGGGAGAGGCAGAGGGAGAGGGAGAAGCAGGCTCCCTACTGAGCTGGGACCATGACATGGGGATATGGGGGTTCCATCCCAGGACCTGGAGATCATGATCCGAGCTGCTGAAGGCAGACCCTTAACCATCTGAGCCACCCAGGTGCCCCTGTAGAGAGAGAGTCTTAAGCAGGCTCCACGACCCTGAGATCATGACCTGAGCTGAAATCAAGAGTCAGACGCTTAACCGACTAAGCCATGCAGGCACCCTGATTATCTTTTTTTCTTTTTAATCCCCTTTTTTAAGTCGGAAAATAGAAGTGTAAACAAAAAGTTTATAATGTGTATAATCTGAACCCTTAGTGACTGACTGAAATGCTAATTCAATTTATCAGACAAAATAATATTGATTGAAGATTTGTTTTTAAGCACATTTTATCGTAGGAAAGTACCTGTAAATCTAAACAACCTTACACAATTTTCAGAGATACGTTTCATGTCCATACAGTTTTATAGGTTGAAAGTCTTCAAATAGCATTAAGAAGTTTTCTTCTGGGGTGCCTGGGTGGCTCAGTCGGTTAAGTGGCTGCCTTCAGCTCAGGTCATGATCGAGCCCCACATTGTGTTCCCTGCTTGGCGGGGAGTCTGCTTCTCCCTCTCCCACTCCCCCTGCTTGTGTTCCTGCTCTCACTATCTCTGTCTCTGTCAAATAAATAAATAAAAATCTTAAAAAAACAACAACAACAAAGTTTTCTTCTGAATTTTTGGGGAATCTTCCAACTTCAGAATAGCTCTCCTGATAATAATGGTGGTTTACTTCGTCCCACTTTTAGTTCTTGTTCATTCTTTTCTAGCTATTGAATGATAGAAATGTTACTCCATAAATAAGTTTCCTTAATTTGTTTCACATTCTCTATATGGTGGTGTTTTAATAACTGGCTCAGAACAGTGTTTCTCAGACCTTTTTCTGTTACAAACTGGATGTCCTGTGGTAGCAGTGAGGTGGAGAGCTAAGCAGTCAGCTGGGAAACTGTACTCACACCCTATTACCCTTACTCGCATTTCATCCTACTCTTCTGATACCAGCAGATCGTCTGTAGATGGGTTTTTTTTTTTTAAGATTTCATTTATTTATTTGAGAGAGAGAGAGAGAATGAGAGACAGAGAGCACGAGAGGGAAGAGGGCAGAAGGGGAAGCAGACCCCCGCTGAGCAGGGAGCCTGATGCGGGACTCGATCCCGGGACTCCAGGATCATGACCTGAGCCGAAGGCAGTCGCTTAACCGACTGAGCCACCCAGGCGCCCTGTAGATGTGTTTATATGTGTTTATTTCTGTAGTATTTTAAGTGGGATTGGAGCATATTATATATACAGATATGTAACTTATTGCTCCTTGTAGGACCCTGCGTGTTGCTAATAACAAAAAACCTTCTTCCTCCTATAGGCTTAGTGAAAGAAGGGGATTTATGGGCCCAGGTTACTGGGCAGTGATCTTCCAGGATGGTTGGTCTGTGGTTCAGTAGGGTCATCAAGAGCCAGGTCTTTTCCTCTCCCTGCACAGCCATCAGTGGTCAGCTGTATCCCAAGGCTGGTCTTCCTCTCAGTTTCAGAATGGCTGCCAGCCATAGTTAGGGTCGTGTGCTGCTTCTCTCACCTGTGGTCGGGGGGAAAGTGGCTGTCCTGTAATTCTGAGAAAAGTCCCACAAGCATGCTAGTTGAGCCCGCTCCGTTCACCCGCCTGCTCCGGGACTTGGGACTGTGGCAGTGGGAGTAGAACTGTGCTACTGAGCCAAGTCATTCAGACTCCGTCCTTGGAGTTATTTGTCCACTGTGACATAACAAATGGCCACACAACTTAGAATCTTAACCATCTGAGTCACCCAGGTGCCCCCAAAATTTCGAATCTTAAAACAACAGACACTTATTATCTCTGTTTTTGTGGGTCATGGGTTTGGGAGCCGCTCAGTGGGTGGTCTGGTCAGACTCCATGTAGAGTCAACAAAGCACCAGTGAGGGCTGCAGTCATGCGCAGGCTTGACCAGGGCCAAAAGATCCACATCTGGGATGGTCGACTTAAATGACCACTGATAGGAAGCCCCGTTCCCTCTCTGTGGTGCTGCTTTCATGTCCTCATATATGGACGTGGCTTCCCCCGGAGCAGGTAGTCCAAGAGACAGCGAGGAGGAAGCCCCGCTGCCTTTGACATAGGTGTTAAATTGCATACCCTTCCTCCTGCTTTATTCCATATTTTACAATCAGGTAACCCAGTCCAGTGCACATTCAGGATCCCCTTCTTGAAGGGAGGAATATTAAGGTATTTGTGAGCATATTTTATTTTATCTTTTTTTTTTTTTTTAAAGATTTTATTTATTTATTTGAGACAGAGAGAATGAGAGACAGAGAGCATGAGAGGGAGGAGGGTCAGAGGGAGAAGCAGACTCCCTGCCGAGCAGGGAGCCCGATGCGGGACTCGATCCCGGGACTCCAGGATCATGACCTGAGCCGAAGGCAGTCGCTCAACCGACTGAGCCACCCAGGCGCCCCTGTGAGCATATTTTAATATCCCCACCTAAAACATAGGCAGAGAGAGAACGAGCAAGAGCAAGAGCATGCTCCTGTATGTTGTTTGAGGCAGCAGGGGGAGAGGCCTGGATATTCTGACAAAAATCTGTGAGCTTGCATGAAGGAATATGATAATGGTGTTAACTAAACAACCAGTAAATGCCCTCTGTACCACTAAAGTACTTTCCTGACTACAGGTAAGTGAATAGGCAATGATAGAACCAAATCTCAGGGTTGCATACATACAGTCATCGTAGATATAGAGCATTACTTGTTCAAACAGACATTTCTTTGTGGTAATAAGAAAGACCATTGGTGTACAAAATCCCAAATAGAGTGTTTAGCTAAATTAGATGTATTTGGCATTGGGATTTTGTCTTTCTGGTAGCACATTCACCTTTCTGGTCGTTAAATCTGATTCTTTCACCGGCTAGATCGGGATTCGGGGTGTAAAAATCCTGGCAAGTTTAGAAAATGTATCTGAAGTATATTTGATTATATCCTGTACGGTAATAAGTAGAAGGAAGGTATGTGTAATAACAACACTGTATATAGCACATCAAGTTTTCAATCCCTTTCTTATTATACCTGATCCTCACAGCAGTCTCATGGTTGGGCGAGAACAACATGGTTTGAACTGCATGGGTCCACTTCTATGTGGGAATTTTTGATAAATACAGTATAGGACTGCAAATGTATTTTCTCTTCCTTATGATTTTCTTAACATTTTCTTTTCTCTAGATTCACTGGAAGAATACAGTATATAATCCATATAACATATAAAAAGTGTTATTCAGCTATTTGTTATTGATAACACTTTCAGTCAAGGCTATAAATAGTTCAGTTTTTGAGGAGTCGGAAGGTATGCATGGATTTTCAGCTGTGCAGAAGGGGATCAGCATCCCAACCCCCACATTGTTCAAGGGTCAGCTGCATTATTACTCCTTTTTTAGATAAGAAAATTGAGGTTTAGGGGCACCTGGGTGGCTCAGTCGTTAAGCATCTGCCTTTGGCTCAGGTCATGAACCCAGGGTCCTGGGATGGAGCCCAGCGTTGGGCTCCCTACTCTGCAGGGAGCCTGCTTCTCCCTCTCCCACTCCCCCTGCTTGTGTTCCCTTTCTCGCTGTATCTCTCGCTGTCAAATAAATAAATAAGTAATCTTAAAAAAAAAAAAAAATTGAGGTTTAGACATGTTATATGGCGTATCCAAATTCCTACAGCTAGACAGGAAGTAAATGAGAACCGAGCTCTGCTCACCCTAAAAGTGCAGTTTTCTCTGTTTTACACATGTGACTGATTCTGCAGAAAGAGAGTGTGGTAGAGAGAGATGCATAATGACAGTCTGAAAATCATCAAACATGAATAATCTACCTCAGAAAAGCCACGATGTTGATAATCTTTAAAATGATGGTGCAGCCTTACCTTGATGTCATAATCCTGATCCTAAAAGCCTGATGGCAAGTGTGGCTCTCATGTATACATTTCATAGAAACCATGGCAAAATTTCCTTTTTCTCTCTTTTGCTTTACATTTCCCTGGGTAGAAACTATAATGAAAATGGTTGCTAGCTCTAACCAGAATGAAAATACTCAAAATCTTATTTTAATTTTATTAATGTAAACATTAAAAAAACGCAAAAGCCAATACTACTGAACATTTGGTCTTGATAAAAGAAAATGTGGAAAATATAGACAAAATATATATAGCTCTCTAGGCTTGGCAGGTTTTCAGTGCACGTCTTTGGGCTCAGAGTTGAGAGTGTTTTCACTCTGCACCAAATCAAAACACAAGTGTCTGGGGAAACAACGCTGTGTATTCAGCCCCAGAAAGGACAGAGCAGGCAGAAGTAATTGTAGTCTGTCTGCTAAGGGAGAAGGGAGGGATGAAGGGGCCAGTTTGGGTTGTTATTTCTTAGCTGTAGGCCAGAAAGAGGAAGCAGGATACTTTGATTAGGTTTTAAATGATTTATTTCGTCAGCCAGTTCCCAAAACTACCTTGGCAAATGTATATTCATTGTGTTATTGAATGCATTTTGTTCTCTGGATATTTTGCTAAAATTACTAGAGATGTGTAACTGGATATATATGGTAAAGACGCTAGAAATAGTAAACATATGGGAGGAATGAATACATTTGAATATTTGATAGAAGAGAATTTATTTCCATTAAAAAGTTTGAGAGTTTGCTTAAGAAGAGATTTCTATTAATGAACTTTAGAATGGTTTTAATCCGTTTTCTAGCCCTTGGGTAGAAGATGATGTTCAGAAGTTATGGCCATATAGCTTTCCTTTGGATAAATTTAATCTGCTTCAAGTTTTCTAAGTTGTTACTATTTCTCTAGGATCAAGGGGGTTTGGGCATTGCTATCAGTGAGGAAGATACGCTCAGTGGAGTCGTCATAAAGAGTCTAACCGAGCATGGGGTGGCAGCCAAGGTGAGGCTTTCTCACTGTCATACAGTGGTGGGGAAGGGAATTACTTCTATAAAATCACCCCAAATCTTAACATGTTTCCATTTAGGATGGACGGCTCAAAGTTGGAGATCAGATTTTGGCTATAGATGATGAAGTCGTTGTTGGCTATCCTGTTGAAAAGGTATGTTTCCAAAAGGAAGCAAATAACACTGTGAACCCATCCGTGGGCATGGCCAGCACATGTGTGTGCCTGTGTGTGTCTGTGTGTATCCATGTGTGTGTGCCTATGTGTGTGTGTGGTCATAGGGAATTGGAACCATGTCACTATACTAGACATTATATTAGACAGATATCATTAAGGAAAAGAAGAATTTAGAAGTTCTTCAATTTCTATTTTCTATTTTCCAATCAAATGATATTGAGGTATTTTCTATTGCCTAGAAAATCCAGTGTTCAGTGGGCATTTTTGATAAATATCATTTCCATTTTCCCTTAGAAAAACTTGCAACTTCTAAACAAAGGTCAACTTAGTGTTAAGACCAAAGGAATCTTTATGAATATTTGCTCCAATAAATATCCATTTTGTCTGTTGTTTTATAAACAGACTCAGTCATTAAATGCATTACTTTCATTGGGATTAAACAGTTACTTGTGAGTTTTCTTGTCCTCAAAAGTGGTAATACTTACTAGTAGTCTCACTTGAGGCATTTCATAGATAAGTACAAGAAAAAAAGCTATGTTTCTCTTGAGATTTGGTGTGCAAATGTTTTTTATTTCTACATTGGCCAGCAAGAAGCTTAAACCATTTTTTTAAATTCAGCTTTAATAATTGTATAGGTTGAACCCTTTTAACCCATATGTCTATGTTCTAACGTTCCATTTGGCTTGACTCTTCTGTTGCATAGTTTTCTTTACCCTTCTTTTAACATAAGTGTTTCCATTTTATTAAAAGTGTCTGTGTAAGCTGTTTCAGATTCTCGGTAGAATCAGGAAGTGGGAAAAGTACCCCATATATCTTCTAAGTCTGTAGGGATCCAGAGAAAAGGATGAGATTAATTAGAAATCTCAAAAATGGAAAACCCTATACTTATATAAAGAAGAATATGGCCACAATTAGACTTACAATAGAAATTAACTTTGGCCTTAATATCAGGCAGCTGAGAAACTAGAAAGAAAGGACAATCATTCTTTCTTGACCCCTCAAGTTCTGATAAGGAAAGGGATACCAACTGTTAACAGTGACTTACTGGTATAAATCTACTAATCTGCTTTTGAATTTTGTTTCCTTGCCACACCAACACCCTCCCAGTTTATTAGCCTTTTGAAAACAGCAAAGACAACAGTGAAACTTAGCATTCATGCTGAGAATCGCGACCCCCAGGCTGGGACGGCCAGTGGAGAACAGAAGAGCAGCTCCTTGTCTCTGACGGCCCCGTCTTCTGGCTCCCCAGAACCAGAGTCCATCCCAAGTAAGGGCCAGTCTCTTGTGATTCCTGCTTCTGTGGCGTACTCAAACCCCCCAGTGGCAGCTTGCTACGTGAGCCCCCTGCCTGCATGTAACTCACTGTTTGAAGGCCGTCAAGTATAAAGAGAGGGGCTCCTGAAGAAAGGTCACTGGGCTGTTAGGCAGGGGATCTGCGTGCTGCACATTAACCAGCCGTAGGGCCTCAGGGAACCCACCCACCCACTCTGAGCCTCTGCTTCGTTGTCTCTAAAGCAGTGGAGTGCTACTCTTTGCTCACCAAGGATCTTTTGCTGAAGGTACCTGTGATTCGGGTATTTGACTAATGATGTAACAACATGATTTTGAATATTCCTTTTTTATATTGAGCAAGTAATTTAACTTCTCTAAAGCCTCAGTATTCTAATCTGTAAAATGGATACAGTGATGCCGCTTTATCGGTGACATCAACAGTGCGTTGCATTACAAGAAACTCTTTAAAAATAATAGTCATTGCTATAGTAAGCGATCGTCATTTAGGTCTAATAGATCCTGTCAAAATAGATGAAATGGTTGTATGTGGACCATGGAATGAGACTGGTGTGTATCATTAAAATGCCAGTGTAGCAAATTGAGGCAAATTATTCCTTTAAGTTACTTCTTGACAAAAATTACACTAGTGTTTAATAAGACAGTAAATTTCAAGCTTTGCAGCATGGAAAAAAGTACTTAAACACATAGGCTTTTTCTGCTATGGGAGAAAAAATTCTCTTTTGGCCTCCAAACTGAAACATTAAGTTCTTTTGACAGGTTTTTAAGGAAACAGCAGTTTAAAACATATGTAATATAGTTAGACAAAAAAAGTCTGAAAGTAATACATATCTGATGAATGTAATCCTTTATTTAGAAAGACTGGGTAATTCACTGACATGTTAAAAGGTTTTACGGCAATTGTCTCCTTTTTCAATTTTATGTTGATCCCAAAATAGCATTGTCTATAAAAATGTAAAATTCTAAATGAAAATGTAACATAAAAGAAAATATCTTACACCTGCTCTTACCATTTCAGGAGCAAGAATTAGTCTGTCTCTGGTTTCCTAAAAAGAGAGCCTCTTGCCTAAAGCTACTCTACCAACTGTCTCAGCTTTTTCAAAACATGACGTGTACTATATGCTCTTTGGTATATCATAAAACATATGATATGAAGACTATCGTAAAACAAGGTGTGAAATTATATTCTCCTTGTTTTCTCATAATCTATTCTTATCTCTTCAGTCCTGAGCACATATGCACCAGAATTTAATATCTGAGTTTATAAAACATCAAGTGAGACAAGCAAAGAAAGAAACTGCATGTGAGTTTCACTTATGTTTTATAAACTCAGATATTAAATCCAGTTGCATGTGTGCACAGATTTGATTACGTAAGAAGAAATGCTCTAGGATAAGAAGAAAAGGAAAACCAAAACCAAAACATAAAAAGCCTTGACATGCAGGTACCATGAGCAGAATTATTGATGTGCTGATGTGCTTTGTGTTTTGTAGTCTTCCCAGAATGTGTTTTTATATGACCACTATATACCTCAGTTCTGAGTTGTACAAATCATAATTTCATAAGAAGTTTTTTGGCTCTAGTGAAGTGTGGAATATCAGCATGAAACTAGAGGTTCAGTTCAACTCTCTGCTCTTATTCCTTTATACATATCATCCCTAGCAATTTAGAAAATACACCATAGTGCGAAACGTAACTTTGTACCCACCTCCCTAAACTAATGATGATTGAATCATTTTGTTTGATGTTTTTAAAATATAACTAAAAGATTAAGGTAAGTCTGAAGTCTTCCTTGTCTGTAACCTTGGGTCCCTTTTCTCCTCCATCCCCCACAGGCAAGGGGCGGGGGGGCTGTGAGTTTGTTGTATATACCACCTAATCAGTTTGTATTTGTATTTCATTTCATTTTAAATTTATTTTTAGGTACAAGCAGGTCATCAACACCAGCGATCTTTGCTTCTGATCCTGCAACCTGCCCCATTATCCCAGGCTGCGAAACAACAATTGAGATTTCCAAAGGGCGAACAGGGCTGGGCCTGAGTATTGTTGGAGGGTCGGACACTCTGCTGGTGAGGACACTCCCTGAGATGCTTCAGATCCAGTGAGCCCTGAGAGATCGCTATCTGGGAGAGTTCTATCTGTTTTATTAAATGAAACATTAAGGCCTAGAAAGATGCATCATTCGTTGTTATTTTAATTCGTAGAGCAAATACCAAAAATTGATTACCAGGACTTTTATTTTGTGTGAGTACTGACTCAATAAGATAGTTACACTTGTGATTGTGACCTTTAGGTTCAAAATATTTCTGTTAGTTTACCTGTCTTTGCTACACTTTAATTGGCTGGATATGGTTGGGTTGGGCCCATATTGAGAGGAGTCTGAATAACTGGATAATTATAGACAAAATTTTCTAAATGTCAAAAATCTTTTAAAATCTAATTATTGCATTTGTGGATAGGAAAAGTGATGTATATCTATCAGTTTCATTTGCAGATAGGAAAGGTGATGTATACCTATTATATGTATGTATGTATGATTTATATGTTTCATAATTTTTTCTTTAAACATCCCTGTCATTAGAAAGATATATATAAACTTCTTTGAGCCTTGTAGCAAAAATTGCATTACACTTTTCTTTGCATTTTGATATGACTCCCTGTGGATCCAGTGAGTATATAACCCTTCACATTATCTTTAAAAGTACAGTGTGGTTTTATTTATTTATTTATTTATTTATTTATTTTAAGATTTTATTCATTTATTTGACAGAGTGAGAGAGGGAACACAAGCAGGGGGAGTGGGAGAGGGAGAAGCAGGCTTCCCGCAGAGCGGGGAGCCCGATGTGGGGCTCGATCCCAGGACCCTGGGACCATGACCTGAGCCGAAGGCAGACGCTTAACCGACTGAGCCACCCAGGCGCCCCTAAAAGTACAGTGTGTTTTGACTTCATTTCTGCTCACCAGTCATATGGAGGATGGGCTAAAGCATGAGTATGTCTTGTCTGGGCCCTTAGGGTGCCATTATTATCCACGAAGTTTATGAAGAAGGAGCAGCTTGTAAAGATGGAAGACTCTGGGCTGGAGATCAGATTCTAGAGGTACAGAATACCTTTATAATTAACAAAGAAAAAGCTACTCTGGGGAGGGCGGTCTCTGTTTCTTTCTTTGTTTCTTTCACTTCGTCTTTGCTCTTCCTTTATTTGACTCACCTGGCTCCTCACAGTGTCCCATTTCTGCACAGGTGAATGGAATTGACTTGAGAAAGGCCACGCATGATGAAGCAATACATGTCCTGAGACAGACCCCACCAAGAGTGCGCCTGACGCTCTACAGAGATGAGGCCCCATACAAAGAGGAAGATGTGTATGACACCCTCACTGTTGAGCTGCAGAAGAAGCCAGGGAAAGGCCTGGGATTAAGTATTGTTGGGAAAAGGTACGACTGAAGAGGGCAAACCTCATGATCTTTTGGAAATGACTGAATTTCAGTTCTTACAAAGAATATTATCAGTAGTCGAATCTTTTTCAGGTGCTAGTGTTCTGTGGGTAGCTGTTGTCAGCCCACTCAGCATCAAAAGACCTCACTTTTGAACTTTTTAAGTTAGGATTTGGGGGGATCTTGAGAATATTAGACAAAAAAACTGTTTAGTATTTAGTTTTTTTAAGGTTTTATTTATTTGAGAAAGAGAGAAAGCACACGAGCACGAGTAGGGTGAAGGGCAGAGGGAGAAGCAGACCTCCTGCTGAGCGGGGAGCCCAATCCAGGACTTGATCCCGGGACTCCAGGATCATGCCCTGAGCCGAAGGCAGACACTTAACCAACTTATGGTTGGTGCCCCTGATTGATATTTCTTGAATACCTGCTGTGTGCTGGGGAATACATTATGTTCTGGGGAACAAAGTTAAATAAGACATGGTTCCTGACTGGGGCGCCTGGGTGGCTCAGTCATTAAGCATCTCCCTTCGGCTCAGGTCATGGTCCCAGGGTCCTGGGATCAAGCCCCACATCGGGCTCCTTGCTCTGCGGAAAGCCTGCTTCTCCTCACACTCCCCCAGCCTGTGTTCCCTCTCTCACTGTCTCTCTCTCTGTCAAAAAATAAATAAAATCTTAAAAAAAAAAAAAAAAAAAGACATGGTTCCTGACCTCAAAAAACTCACAATTTAGTCAACGAGAATTAAATATGTTCTTGCAACAAAGGATTCCATTGATGAGAGACAGAGACATACTGTGGGGGAGCTGTGGCAGCAGAGGAAAAGGGGACAAGTGACTCTATTTGAGGAAGCAGATTAGAGAAACTTCTCAGAAAAGAGGTGCCTGCGCTGAGGCTGAAAGTGATCAGTGATAGTTGGTCTATTTGTAGGGAGCAGAGGATACTCTAGGGAGAAGGATTGGCTGGAACATAAACATGCCATCAGAAGGGAACAGAAAGTAAGAGGCCAGGGTGGTAAATTGGTGAATAGGTATAAATTTAGTACCTAATTTATTTAAGTATTTATAGATAAGAATTATTAACAAATACATGATCCAGTAAGTTCCAGTATCTTTTTTTTTTTAAAGATTTTATTTATTTGTTTGAGAGACAGAATGAGCAGTGGGGAGGGGCAGAGGGAGAGAGAGAGAAGCAGACTCCGTGCTGAGCAGAGAGCCCAATGTGGGGCTCGATCCCAGGACCCTGAGATCATGACTTGAGCCGAAGGCAGACACTTAACCGACTGAGCCATCCAGATGCCCCAAGTTCCAACACCTTTATCTAAAGATGGGAAGGCAGAGGATCAGAAGGTGAAATGATGTGTTTGAGGGCCTGACCTTGGCAAGAAGAGACACAACCGTATTTTCACTACACATTTCTACTTACAGTTATCTTTGTCTCTTGGCAAGAAAATCCTGGGTTGTTTGTAGTTTCCTGAATGAAAGGAAGATTGGAATAAGAATTGTGTTTGTTCATTTTGCATGAATCCATCTTGCTTGCAAGTTAGATCCATAATAACTTAAAAGACATCACAGGAATGGTTCTTAAACAAGGGTTTCGGTTAGAGGTACACATTCATTGTTTATTTTCAGGAACGTTAATGTTGGTGATAATACCAACATAGTTATGTAGCCACTGGTCAGTATTCATTCAGGGCTTCGTTACGGTGTGGAGAGGACCATAGACTTAGCACCCAAGAACTGACTCTTACGTCCCATTTTTGCTTTGGAGGAACTGTGTGACCCATAAAGTGAGACAACAGTCGTGGTCACTTGAGCTCACAGTGCATCATTGTTGAAGAATAAATATGCTTATGAAGATCTGTTTAATCCATGAAATAGTATGAGACATAAGCTATTATCACAGAAAATAATTCTAATAATATTGCCCCCATGTTGCTGAAAACAAACTTGTAAAGTCACAAGAGTGGAGGTCACGTTTTCAGTTAAAAATGTTAGCTCTTCAATAAGTAAGCATTGCATTACAGTGGAGAAAAAATAGTCATGTTGAAATTCCAAATCATGTCTACAGAAATGATACCGGAGTGTTTGTGTCCGACATCGTCAAAGGAGGGATTGCCGATGCTGACGGAAGACTGGTGCAGGGAGACCAGATACTAACGGTGAACGCAGAAGATGTCCGGCACGCCACCCAGGAAGCTGTGGCCGCTTTGCTGAAGGTAAAGGTCAAACGCTGGCAAGGACTCTGTGCAGTAGGATGGAAGGAGGAGGAGATGCTAACTGGGCCACCGCGGTCTAATAAGCACTGAATCCTCCTTATTTAAAAGGTTATCTCACATAAGACACATTTCTAAGTAAGATGCCAAATTTTAGTGATAAATTTCTAACTAATAATAGCTTTATTATATTATGTATTTTCTATTATTAAATGTCAAGTGAAAGACTTTTCAGTTTTCAAGGTAGACATCCCTTAAGGCCCCACAGCTGGTAAATCACACAGTAGGATTTAAACCTGTATGTCTAACTCCAGAAACCCAGGATCTCAAAATACCTCATTGTGCTTTCTCCTTAGACAATATAGTATTTTTTGCATGCCTAGGATTTATTTGTTAGAGATCACAGGGAAGTTGTCTTCAATTCTTATTTTGTGTTTATAGCATTACGGCTTCTTTCAGCATTGTGTAATAGGTCTGTTCAGGTGCCATGTGGCAATAGAGTTTGCCCAGTTATCTGTTAAGGACAAAGCAAGTTGTTGTGGTCATTGTTGTATTGTTTCAGTTTTGTTTTTTAAGCCCTGAGTTAGTTAGTACATTTGGCATATCTATGTTTCATGAGACAGTTGCTCGATTCTCAGTTTCTCTTTAGCTCGGCACCAACAGTCTCCCTGTAAATCATGAGGCCATGAGACAGACACTGGGTGTTGCCCCTGCTGCTGCTTGTTGTTACTCTTGTTTATGTTTTAGAAAAGCCTCCTTCCACAAAGGACTGGAGGTATCCTTGACTATGGAAATCCCAAAAGGAGGAGGCCTTTCAAAAACCTAATCCTAAAGAGTGTATCTACTCCCGAAGATGATTATAGCATCTTGTTTGACCATTTTCCTAAAACAACCACTCCCCTAGTGTTCCCTAGGCACAGTGACCTTAGAAGTTGGAAGAATCAAAGCCGGTCCATTCCATTCAGAGAGGAGGCCTTCTCAAAGCAGCCAGGTGGGTAGCTGTGGGGTTCATCAGGGTGGTGCAGTCCACGCGCTGGAGCAGCTCCGAGATGGCCCTGACAGTGGTCTGCACGCAGGCCGGGCCTGCGGCAGCTCGGCACAGTGGGCTGCAGACTCTTAGGCGGGGAAGAGCATCGGGTGAGCGGGGACAGGTGAACGAAATGGAGCTCTTGAGTGGTTTGCAAGTCATTCTCAGGAACTTCATTTCAGCCATTCTTTTCTTTTTCCATAATTGTACAAGTTAACCAATTAATATCTGTAACGCCTACCGACGTGATATATTTTTAAAGTATTTTATAACAAGCATTCAGCTGAAAAAATCCCACGTAAGGTGAACTGTAGAAGCTCACCACCCTGTCTGAAGCTCACCACGTGTCGGTTCAAGATCGCTGGCACACCACTCTCACTTTTGTCTTCATCAGCCTGTCCTTAGAGAACCTTTACTCACCCCTTCAAGACTACCATTCATTTCCTGTTGCCGGGCCCTAATTTTACAGTTTTCTCATAAGCCCCAGTCTATGTACAACATCAGTTTAAATTTAGCTTGAATGAAACTATGAAAATCCACTAAAATTTAAGTTGGTTGGAATCAATCTCATCCATTCTTTTAGCTTCAATTTATTTATGTCACTAGGCAAATTATTCCATAAAAAGAAAAAAATCGTTAGATTTCAAATTATCAAATGCCACTGTTGCTTCACAGATATTTCTCTCTAGATGCATTGAAAGAATTGAATTCTGAAGTAAGTGGTATTTAGGGGATATTATTACTTCAAAACTTTCTAAAATAATTGTTGTGTGTTTGTAGATGAGTGAAGGCAGCCTGTCATCATTCACTTTTCCACTTTCTGGATCCAGTACCTCTGAGTCACTGGAAAGTAGCTTGAAGAAGAATGCATGTAAGATTGGTTTGATATTTTAAGCATGACTTACTGGTTTGAATTTTGGTAACCAACACTGATTTTTTCCCCTGTATCAATTTACCTCTGAGCTCTCATTCCTCAAATCATTTCATATCCTAATATGGGTGCGGAGGTGTGTGTTGGCAAAAATTCTGAGCAATATGAAGCTGCGTCTTTGTTGTTTAGTTTTTCCATTTGTTGTTTTTTCTATAAGATATACTAAACATTAGAATCAGGATTCTGTAATTTTTTCTTACTAAGCAGACGGGTATGCTTGATTTTTATTTCCTTTTTCTGTTTAATCAACACCAGTAATTCAGAAAATGCCATTAAGTGAAGCCTTCTTTTTCCATGAAGACTGCAAAAATTTTGATTGAGAAAATTAGTATGATCCTCCTGTGTTTTAATTACATGAAATCATGATGCAGAGGGTTTTTTGGCTTGGAGTATTGGTTGAAAGTTGTTCAAATTGAAGAACTAACCATATGGCAATCTCTGTTTGCAATGCGACTAATATTCTAGAAATTTAGCCACTTAAGTCCATGAATTCCTTTTAATGTGTCCATGACTTTATTTTTCTCAGCTGTGCACTTTCTATCCAAAGCCTATTCTGCCCTTGACTCATTGAAAGTGGATTATGCAGTTATATAATCAATGATTAAAATAAGAAGGAAGAAATGGGGTAGTGTGCACATTTTTCCAACTGGAAAAATAAAGATTCCCTATGTGAGACAGATTTAATCATGTGTACTGGCAACTTTGAGCACCCTCTTTAAAAAAGAAACAATTAGCGTATCTCATTTAGTCCTATTCCAGCTTCAGGCGTTGACTAAAATTTAATTGAACATAAAAATACTTTAATAACCGTATTTTTTTTTTTTCACTTTACAGTGGCATCTGAAATACAGGGATTAAGAACAGTTGAAATAAAAAAGGTAACTTGGGGAAGAGAAAACAATATAAACTCTGTTGACCTCAGAGGCATCTCCATATATATTTTCCTATTAGCTGTCTCACTGTTTTACCATACCATCATAAAAATTATGTGGTATATACAGTGGAAATACCACAGTAGTCTTCACTGAATTTCCTGGTCACAGGGCCTTGTATGAAAAATCATTGTCGGTGTATCCTGTGTTGCCAAAAATGGCATCCACCCAACCCCACACAAAGTGTCACCCCACCTCTCACCTCTCATACTGCAAAGCAAGCCTCTGCCTTCCACAGATACTTCTTACTCTCGTGAAACAGATTCCCCTGACAGCCGTGCACAAGAGAGAACATAAAAGCAGCTACAGTTTATTGAGCCTTTGCTCTCTGCTGAGCATTCTTGGAGATGCATCATCGTGCTGTCACCGTCTCCTGCACTGTCTTCTGCAAGCCCCCTGCTAGGGCTCCTCTGATCTCCGTTTTGTCACTGCAGGTCTAGTGACTCATTAAGAGGGCTGAACTTGGTCAGGTCCCAACATTTGTAACTGTGGGTTCCTGGCTTTGAATACAGATCTCTCTGATTCCAAAATTGGGGTCTTTCTCTTCATCAGTGGACCCGCTTTTCATCACCCCCACGGCATGATTTTCATTTAATGTGTTTTGATTTCTTTTATTTCCTGGACAGATGCTTATTTTCCTAAGTCACACTAAGGATCTGTGTCAAATGAAGTAATACAGTTTTCTGGAACTTCATTTTCCTCACACCTCGAAGACCTGAGTTAACTGTAGGGCATCGGGCCAAAGACACCAAACATCAATTTAAAATACCACATTGACCGAAATATTTTAATCTCTTGCATGGCAGGGGCCTACTGACTCACTGGGAATCAGCATTGCTGGAGGAGTGGGCAGCCCACTTGGGGATGTTCCCATATTTATTGCAATGATGCACCCAAATGGAGTTGCAGCTCAGACCCAGAAACTCAGAGTAAGTTCTACTAATAACGGAGGCAGCCCTCACAAATCTGGCAGAAGTTTTTTAAACCCTTTGGATGTGCCACTTGCTGCAGCCAGTTTTCAGTGTCTGTATCTGCTTTTAAATACGCTAATCCGACTACAGCAGGGTTTGCTTTGAGTAAAGGTGAAGAAAAGGAAGAGAGGAGAATTTGCTGTGGAATGCAGATTGACAAGTAAATGAGATGGGAAGATCTCCTGTTGCTTCTTAGTAGTTTTTACTTGTTTACAACTCTGAAAGAAGGTAAAACAAAGTGTTTCAGAACACCAGTATGAGATGAAATTTTCTCCTTATGTGTGTCACTGGTTTAAATGCCAGTTTAACATCATTAAATTGAAAACTATCATTTATGTTGCAGTTGGTCATCCATTTTGCAGAAGCTTAATATGAATGTGACTTACATTGTGAAACTATACAAAACGTGCTTCAAAGTTGAGGGATTACGCTAAGGTAGAGCCCTCTTTATGCTGACTGTCCAGGTCTGGAGTCATGTGAATGTTCCATTCAAGCCTGAATGACGTAAAATCTGCGTGGCCTCCTGGGTCACAGAGCATCTCAAAACATAACCACCTCTTAGTTTAGTCCCTAAACTAGAAATGGTTCAATTTCTTTTGATATCTGAACTGGTGACTGACTGACACTTAAAAATTGATTGTTGCACGTAGCAGAAAACACTCTGTGCGGGACCTCTCGTGAATACTTGGGTCTTGGTGGGACAAGCGGGTCTCTGGCAGCGACTCGGCTCTGCCCTGTGAAAGCAATGAATGAGCAGGGCTGTCTTCCATCCAAACTTGGCCAACAAAAACGAGCCGTGGGCCAGAGGTGGACTCAAGTCACAGCTGACTCAGGGTCCCAGCTAACGTGTGCAGTAATAACGTCCAAAGAAATTCTGGTTTTTAAATGCTATCAGGTATTTTATTCTCTAATAAGAAGCGGTGTCTTACCCAGGAGAAATGAAGAGAAGGGAAGAGTGGTTTTCCCCCGGAGACTGCCGAACTCCATCGTCATGGACAGCTTCTTTTCACTGTGGCCACTTCTTGAAATGATTGGCTTCCTTGGTTATATTTCAGTTGCTGAGGGCAGTGTGTGTGTGATGTGCCAGGTAGAGAAGGAAGTGACTGTTCAGGTGTCAGGGTCCCACTCTCCATGGCTGCTCTAGCAGATGGCTGGTTTCTTGCCTCCCTCGCAGGTTGGGGACCGGATTGTCACTATCTGTGGCACTTCCACTGAGGGGATGACTCACACCCAAGCAGTTAACTTACTGAAAAGTGCCTCGGGCTCCATTGAAATGCAGGTAAGAGTTGTATCCCAGGCACTCTTCACGGTATGGGTGGCTTGAGGACACAGGAGTTTTAAGCATTAAAGCAGTAAAAGTCCTTAAATCTCCTGGTAGCATTTTATTCAGTATTTCCTGTGAACATAAATGATTTCACTGAGAGTTCCAAGAAAGTATGTATGAAACATTTTATCCTGATGCATTCTTTGTTTCATACTTTATATCTAAAGGGAAAAAAATACAAGGTCTTAGCAGTAAATGATTAATTGCTAGGATGTTAAGTGGTATGAGTGGCTGTGTATTCTGAAGTTCTTTAAAAAATAATTGCATGTGAGACCATGTTTGAAAGAGATCAAAGAACTTTGCAGAATTGAATTACTAAAAGATTTTTCCTGTCAGTTGAAGAGGCCTCTGGACCTTGTGAATTTCTCTTTGGTTGTATATCAGGTTCACAGAAATGATTAAGTGGACAATAAGGTACATGTTTTAATCCAAATGCTGTTTCTGAGGGAAAATTACTGATGTCTCCCTGGCCACACGAACACATGTTTTTCTCTTTCTGTTTCTCCCGCACACAGGTGGTTGCTGGAGGAGATGTGAGTGTGGTCACAGGTCATCAGCAGGAGCCAGCCACTTCCAGTCTTTCTTTCACTGGGCTGACATCAAGCAGTATATTTCAGGATGATTTAGGGTGAGTGCACATATTGTGGTTTCTATGTCCCTACCACTCACATAAAGGTGAAGAAACAGGAGACGAGGTATGAGATACGAAAACCAAGTGTTTCTAAACTGTTAAATGATTGTGGCATGGATTTAGTTTATCAGGTGGAGACAGATAGCATGCCACTACCCTTCCCACGGTTTTGGCTCTGAGTTTTTTGGGGGACATTTTAGTCTTGACGTCACTACCCTATGTGACATGGAACAGATCAAACCTATCCTTTTGAAATTCCAACATTGCCAACTCATTTAATAAATCATCCTTTTGATTAAAAAATTCACAGTTCCCCAACACGTGAGTACAAAAGAGATCATAAAGAGGGGAAGAGAGGGACATATGAGAATTTTTAAATAATTTGATGCAGTCTTTACATTGCTAGTAGTGGATTTTTCTCTCTGAGCTTGGGAGTCCTGATGTTTGTGATTTACTCCACGGTAGACCTCTGTGCTGTAGCCTTCTTCCTTTAAATAACCTGGGAAAAGAATGTGCGTGCATGCAATGAGAACTTGTCGTGAACATGTTAGTTCAGGGGAACTGTAAATGAGTAATAGAAGTAGGGTGTTAAGTAGGATTTTTTTGGATTATGTAAATTTAAAATACTGAGCACAGCATGCTCGGACAGTTCAAGCATCCCCAAAATACCCATAATATACTCACTGTCAGTAGCACTGAGATTTATACTGGTTCTAGGTGGATGTCAGATAATCCGTAACTTACAGATATGATTTTAAAAATCGAAAACCTCTTTTTTTTTCCTTTTTTCCCTTTACTGTAGACCTCCTCAGTGTAAATCTATTACACTAGACCGAGGACCAGATGGCTTAGGCTTCAGTATAGTAGGAGGATATGGCAGCCCTCATGGAGACTTACCCATTTATGTTAAAACGGTGTTTGCGAAGGTAAGATTGCACATTTTAACCACCCCCTTGCCCCCTAAACATTCATTAATAGTGGTCAGCAGCTGGCTTATTAGTTTATGGCCTGAGGTAACGCCAAATGGTTAACAGTTGATCATTTTCTTTTGGAACTCCCTTCAGTAACAGGTCATTAAATATTTTTGTCCAATTTGAGCTTTAATTATATTTAAAGGAAAATAGGCTCAAATTGAAATTCCATGGGAACTCTTGACAATATGCAATAAAAATATTAATGAACTTTAGTTCGACAGTAAGACCTGATTTTTTTGTCCTTTGAAAACAGGTTGCCTATGATTGATTGTCTTTTGAAAATGGGACATTTTAAATATCTATGCTGTAGAGTGCTGGCATTTCTTTTCCTTTGTTTTTTTTTTTTTTTTTTTTTGGTTGTGAAATATAAAATAGACATGGGAAAGTACAGAAAATAGTTACACAGGTTAAATAACTAATAGGGCATTTATTTTGCCGTTTAATGTTATTGAATAAAATAGAAAATTTACAACTGAAAAAATTGCAGAGTATCCAGAAGCTCTGTCACCTGCAGTAAATCAGCTATTTGCAATCAGGGAATTCAGTTTTTTTAAAAATTGCATTTAGTTGTAATGATACAGTAAGTATTCTATTTTAAGGATGTTTAGAATAAGAATAAATTTATCGCAACATTGGTGAAGCCGTTAAAATAATTCAAACCCTTATAATTATTGTTAATATGTTCTTAAGACATTTTTCCAGGAGCTCCAAAATTGGACATAATTTCCTGCAGGAGAAAATCTGGAATCTCAAGATTTTACAGTGCAAAGAAGCAAACAAACCTTATGGCTGACCTATTAAACAGTTTGATTCAGGGTTTTAGATTAGTGCTGTTGTCCTTTAAAGTGCCTACCTGTGTAGGTTTCATTCCATTATTTTGAAAAAGAATTATTATTTTTAACCAACTTAAAGTGCTGTATCTACAGCAACCTAGTTATAGGCTTAATTTATGAGATTTTTTAAAAGCCATTGGTGTGTCCAAAAATACAAACAGCATTTGTCAGTGAATAGAAGAGTCATGCAGTCCTTTTCCTCAGCCTTGGAACAATTTATTTAAGGCATGCTAGTTAGAACATATTTTAAGAATTTCATCATTATGGATTCCTCATTAACTTTTCCATATTTTTAATCTTCTATTTAATTGCATAATTGCCTACTCTAAGCATGCCTTAAGATGGGATGCTTTTTCACACAGCAATGTCTGTGTTTAATCTGAACCATTTAAGGCCCATAAGAAATATGAAGACTCCACACGCCCTGGGGAAGTAAAGAACAAGCAGCTCGAGCAGCCTATTCAAAGCCACAGAAAGAATTACAGTTAGACTTTGTAGGACTCGCGTCCTGCCCTGCCCTTGTCAACGTGTGTGTGGGCTTCATGCTTCTGCAGACCTTCGGGTTCCGTGGCCTCATGCCCTTGTCCTGTAAAACTGCTTTTGTTCCTGTCTAGTCCTTTGTCGTCTTCTGTAAGCCTTCTTTACAGGATAAAAAACCCTGGATTCTATGAAATCATTCCTGCTAGGCAAATTCCCAAATATTCTTTATTAATTTGAGTTCCCACCAACTGCTGTGCTGAACAGCCAAAAACCATCCAACTAATCCATTGACTGCTGAATTCTCTCTGAAACTGGAATCTCGGTGCTAAAACCATTTAGGAGCAAGACCTCCTTTGTGTCTGTTCATCATTGCTTAATGGCTGTGGAGCACCCAGGGAGCACCGAGAGCAGTGTGTGTATACATGCAGAGCAGTTTACATTCTTGTTTAGATCTTTTTCTGTTGTATAGCAGCGAGGCAGCATTTTTTTGAGAAGCAAACAAGCCTGCTTTATAATTGCAGGGAGCAGCCTCGGAAGACGGGCGTCTCAAAAGGGGTGATCAGATCATTGCTGTCAATGGGCAGAGTCTGGAAGGGGTGACCCACGAAGAAGCTGTGGCCATCCTCAAGCGGACGAAGGGAACTGTCACTTTGATGGTTCTCTCCTGAATTTACTGCAGAGTGGGGCCAACTCAGCCCCCTGCTCCCATCCCACACTGTGAAGGGAATGGAACTGCTCTTGCGGATAACTTTCCCCCGCGCCGTCTTCATCAGGCTCTTCAGAACTCTGGGGGGAAAGTACCATTTAAGTTATTTTTCTCATGTGGAAATGGTTTTCTGGCAACCTAGCATCACTTTTCCTTTCTCCTTGGATTTTGTGAACATAAACTCAAAGGGAAGGACTGTGTGCATAGGTAAACCCAGTCTTCTAAAGATGTCTGACATTTGGCAGTCACATGTGCAGAAATTATGATGTGCTGAACTGGTTAGTAGAGGAAGAAAATAAAAATAATTCCAAAGCGAAAACTAAGAGAAATGGCTTTAGTAAATTAGGGTGAGAATGAAAATATAAAAGAAAAAGGAAAATCTCAAGTTTTATATAAAAAAATGCTTCATTTTTGTCAGTCCAACTCCTCCCCATTTCTAACTAGAAAAGAAAATAAAACATTTTTCTCTATTGAAAATCCTTAAAAATACTCTCAGTATTTAAAATATTTGAATATTATAAAAAATTGCATATCCCCTCCTTTAATATACCCCTACATATTTTCCTCCTAAAATGGGTTTCTAAGATTGAGTAAATAGCAATTATATGAAGCAGTGTCCCTAAGTTGGTAAAGAATACAGCTGATGCAAATCTTGATGTTCATTTTTATTTTTGACCTGTTATGAAATATTTTCATGTTTCCGTAAGTAAGATTGTGATGTCACCCACTATTGACTGTGGTTTCTCTAGAAAGCAGCCGTGCTAGCCACGGAGGAACATGGAAGTCTCTCAGAATCTTTAATGCTGGTTTTAACCGATGCAACACTAAAAATGCGTGCTGGGCAATTGGTTTTCAATTACTATTAATCTTAATGACAGAGAAAAAAGCAATGTGTTAGTAATTATTTTGGTTGTGTGCCATTAGTAAATTGATAGAAAAATTAAGGGGATTAACATAACTTCATTTCATTGCCTTATATTAACATCTTATAATACAATAGTTTAAGACTAAGGGAAACAGATGGAGCTGTTTATTGAGACAACTGGTGAGGAATTATCATGTGTTCATTCCCATTTTAGAGCGTGAAACTCCTACATTAGAATATATAAAGTCACTTTAAATATTATCTATATTTGTAACAGAAGTAGTGTACAGATATTTTATTACAGCACTTTTGTGTAAATGGAGTACCGAAGTGAATAAATAACAAGTTTCATGGTGCACAAATAAAGAAACAGGCGTATTTTTTTGTTCTTTTTACTGGGAAAAAGCTTCACTATATTGTTCAAGATTTACAATTTAAAACTGGTTTTTATCATGTCTAACTGAACATATGGGGTCCGTAGTTACCATCAGAACTTTGGACACCATCATTATGAAAAGCTCGATGTTTCTTACATCCAGAAGTTTTACTAATACTGAAGTGTCCGGTCTGTATCTGTTTTTCTGACGTGCTATGTTAATGCAGTAATATTCTAAATTGTTCTTGGGGGTAGTCAAGAGCTAAAGTGATTTCAGAAAGAAAAAAGTCATAATGAAGTTATTTATGTTAATAGAGGCAAAAAGTCTGATTTGAACACTGAGCGAGGAATTGGGGAACATTTGTTCTGCTAGTTCTTGCCCCGCACTAGCTAATGCATGTGTGCATTCCGTCTGATTCACTCATCTGTAAAATGATAGGTCATCTTACCTCAAAGCTTGCATCCAGTTCTAAAATAGAAGCATTCTATGATTCTTATACAGAATGGACAGGACCACACATTGCAACAGTTCAGGAGGTGTTCTCCCCAGCACTCCATGGTAGACTCGAGAGGAGCAACTTAACCAACCAAATTAAAGTTTGAGTAAATATGTGGGAATACCCCAAGGAGAACAGTCCCAGGTAAGTGTCTGTACTTGCCTGAGTAGCATCTCCCCAAAACTCACAGCCACGAGGAACCATAGAATGTGATCTCATTTGGAAATAGGGGCTTTGCAGATACAGTTAGTTAAGATGAGATCGTGCTGGGCCCTAAATCCTTAAGGTCTTATCAAGACACAGAGACATAGGGAAGGAAGACCATGTAAAGATGGAGCAAAAAAAACCCCGCAAGACCACCTTGGGAGCTACCAGAAGCTGGAAGAAGCAAGGAAGGAATTTTTCTGGGGTTTTCAGAGGGAGGTTGTCCCTATTGACACCTTGATTTCAGACTTCTGGCCTCCAAATCTGTGAAAGAATAAATACCTGCTGTTATCATCCACTCAGTTTGTGGTACTTTTTTATGGAGGCCTGGGAACACTAGTAACTGTGTCTTAAATGTTTTTATATTCATAGCTACCATCATTGGACCTGACTAACAGGAGAAGAGCTGTACATGTGTGTTGAGCATGCAAATGATTAAATTATAGGTCATGATTCATTTCATGGTATTAATATTGTTTTAATTAGCTAGCTGCAGCCTTTATGCTAATGCAGAAACAAAACAAAACAGTGGGCATGCCACTGTGAGGATATAGAAACACTGAGGAAAACCTAACCTCCTGAATTGCTACTCATTAACAAAGTCAGCACAGGAAAGAGGAGGGAGGGAGGGAGGGAGGAAGGAGGAAGGAAGGGAAAGATTGAGAGGAATATATAGATGCATTAGCATTGGAGAGACGTGACAAAGGCTTATGCTTCCTGTATTATTATTTTGTGTAAATATAAGAGTTCTCTGCGGAAGGAAGTGTTTGAGCAAAGAGTTTGAGGACTTGAACCTTAACTCAAGACAGTGAATTACTCATAATAGGTGGCATATAATTGCTCATGTGATTAAATCACACTGGTGAATACTACACATTTCTGGTGTTCTTTGTGATCCCTCCCAAAGGACGATGATGATCTGTAACACTAAGGATAACAATAATAATAAGGCACCACCTGGTCTGTAGCTGCGGGAGTCGTCGAGATGTGGTGTCCAAGTCCATAGGCTCCATACATCAGAACAGGGATGGAGTAGGGAGCATGAAAACATGAAAATCATGAAAGACGAGACAAGATTTGGGACAGGTTTTTGTTTGTTTTGGGGCATAGTGGTAAAGCAGAGCGTGATAGGTTTGGTGAAGCAAAGGAACCTCTTCCTTGCTCTGAGGTGACCGGCCCTACGTTGCATTAGGTCTGGTCAGCTGGCTTCTTGTCTGAGGACGGTGTGCACTGATTGACAGGCTTTCTTGGTGAGTAGAGAAGTTGAAAGGATGCCTGCAGGGAGACAGGACTAAACAGCTTTTTTTGGGGGGGCGGGTCTAGGTGTGGGAATATCAAAACTATCATCACCTGCTTCCTGCAGCCCTGGTGTGTTGTTTCATGCCAGTGACAAGTATTCTGGAATGCACGTGATTTATGCAAAGATGTTCCTCAATTTTGTCTACTAGGAATTAATGCTTAACTTTGCCCTTTTCAAAAGAGAGTTATTTGTAAGGCAGGATTAGCCTCTGTCACCTCAAATGGAAAAAAAAAAAATTGTAGGCGACAAAATTTCTAAATGAAAGAGCATGAAAACTAGATAGAGCAAATGTTTTAAAGGTGACTTTTGTATACTTGGTATTGCGACTGCTTTTTCCCTTCAGAATATAGGGAGGCAGTCCATATTCATTTTGATGTAAATTAGAAAAAATTGTATTATCTGAGAATTTTACTTATTGGAGAAGTACTGAAAGTTCAATAGCGGGCCCTTAGAATTCTGTCAAAAAGGAGGCAAATCTGTGGCAATGATCTCAAAATTCTCTCATTAAAAATGTTTCTTGAGGATTCTGAAAGTACTACCATCAAATGACTGCTTTGGGCGGCTTCTAGGAGGAGCTTCAACTTGTTCATTTAACACTGGACATTTTTTCAGAGGGTTGTGTCCTTTGGGAATACTTTTTGGTGATCCTTTCTCCTTCCCTCCCCCTCCCTCCTCCTCTTTGCATGCATACATATTTTCAAAAACAGCACACTTGTCCTTGGAAAGCGTACTTTCTCTCTCATTTCTTTTCTTACTGATGTATTAAAAACTACGATTTTTTTTTTTCTGAGTCTACCTTGAATGATTTCATGTCCAAAGTTCCACTCCCCTGGGCGCCTGGGTGGCTCAGTTGGTTGGGCGACTGCCTTCAGCTCAGGTCATGATCCCAGGGTCCTGGGATCGAGTCCCGCATCGGGCTCCCTGCTCAGCGGGAAGCCTGCTTCTCCCTCTCCCATTCCCCCTGCTTGTGTTCCCTCTCTCGCTGTGTCTCTCCCTGTCAAATAAATAAATAGAATCTTTAAAAAAAAAAAAAAAAAAAAAAAACTTCCAAAGTTCCACTCCCCTGAACTTCATTAACCCAGAGGCACTTTATTCCATTCGATGAGACGTACAGATTTACCTTGCTTTGGAAAATCCAATGAAATAACTATATAAATCATTGATACTGTGCATAGGATAATCTATCAAGAAATGGTAATAGTTGTGCATGTATTTTATATCCCAGTAGACAGAGGGTAATATAAATTCAGTAATTTAATAGCTTTCACTTTTCATTTTTGTGTAATATTGCCCTTTTCCTCTAAAGTGGGGGCAAATCAATTTATACCAAAATTTCAGTTGTCATACAATCCATGTTTTCCATATCCTTGTGTAACTCGTTTAATATTTAGTAATAGTATTTTTAACTTAAATGTGCTTACAAGAGGAATTGTATCTCAGTACTTTAAATGGAAAACTAATATCATTTGCCATAAGTATAAAGTAACTACAAGCAAAACTTACTTTATTAAATTCCATCAGGATACTCTTGCCTACGAAGGGTCAGAAGGCCTGCTCACTTTGCTAGAAAGGGAGAAATAAATGTTAAAATGGTGGTAATGACTCAGCAGGTAACTTTTTTCTTAAAGGAACTGAAAGAAAATACCTTTTCATTATGTGATTCAGTATTTTCTAGGGCCTTGTCATTGCCACCTACAACAGTGATCTCAGCAGACACTCCCTCTTTGGGAAAACTCTGTGATACCAAAGTCAGGAAGGTTTCGTTTATAGGCTCCTTTTTTAAAATGTGAAAGCAAGCTGGTCAATTCCTGTTCTTAAGAATATTCTTGCTAATGAGGTTAAAATTTTGTTTACAAGGCTTTCTCTAAAACCAGAATTGGGTCATCACCTCCGATGCTTTTGTTTTGGCAATCTTGAGTTTGAAATAAGGAACAAATGACATAAATTAATGGAGTAAAATTAATGTTGTGGTGATATTAAATAAAGCTAATGCCTCTTGCACCTGGAGGGCTATGCAGATGGCAGGCATACCTAATTATGCACCCTGCTGCCTTTAAGTGTATTGATAAAAATCTCTCAGCTGAGTTTAAAATATGTTCATTCACTGGCTCCAGACAAGTTTGAGTGAGGCAATACAATACATAAAAAATACAGCCTGACATACTTACTTTTTAAGGAAAAAAGGCAATTCTCTAAGTTAAATGAAATAATTAAATATTTACCTGATTTTAAAAATAAGTCATTACTACAGTCATGGTCTCTTGTCCTTTCTGTGAGTATTAAAATATATGTCAGCTCCATAAGAAAAAGATTGCTCTCAAACCAGTAAGGGAATACTTAAGTTTACATTTTACTGGCTGCACATTAGTTATAAAGATAAATTTACTAAGTGAATCCTAAAAAAGTTTACTTGATTTCTCACTGTAGGTACAAACTGGATTGGCCAAATATCACTCAGATATTCAGAAACTTGTTCAATATTTTAAGAAGTAGCTACTCTGGGAAATATGTCAGTATAATGAAGTATTGAGACAATTTGTTTTGGTACAGGTATTTCAAAGGTGTCCCTGAACTTTGTAGAACTTACTGTGAGTACTCTTCCTTTAAGGAATGCGAATTCTCATGAACTTCAGTTTGTGGCCATTGGCTACCTATGCAGTTAAATGGACAACCAGCATCTTCTAGTTTTAGCTTCAGAATGATTTTTTAAGTGCCTTCATGAGATTTGTTATACACACCTATTATTTCTCTTATAATCAGATATATTTGTTACCCACATTTTAAAAATAAGACAAACTTTTCTTTTGCAGACATAGTTTCCACCAAAATAGAAGATGCGGTGCCAGGCATTCATTGTATGATAAAGGATGCTGGCCCACTTTTGAGAAAAAGTGTGGGGGGTGGGGAGAAAAGAAGTGGTTTTTTTAGTCAAAGGAGCATATAATTTCATCTTTTCATCTCAAAGTTAATAAATAAAGGAACTGTACATTTAAAATTTATATTTATAATTTTATTGCCATTTGGATAACAAGCTGGGGATTATTTACATCCTATCTACCTTAATTTCTAAGTCCCTCGCTCTTATTCCTTCTATTTGGTAGTTGATTTTTTTCTGAAGTTTTTTCTCTCTGTACGTTATGGGTATTTATGCAATGAGGTCCTCAATGTCTCAGCACCCACTTTGCCTTGCATGAATGTAAGTCATAGCTGATAAATATCTTATGCCAAAGGAACTCTAGATTTCTCCCAAGCCCTGGATTCATACCCTGGCATGGCTCCCAACAAGCAGGCAGCTGATCTCTCTGAGCCTCTGCCTCCTTGCTGTAAAATGGGAATAATAACATCTTCTTCGCAGTTCTTTTAGTATCAGATGAGATGAAGTGTCTGTACATGATGGCAGTTGATAAATGGTAAAGCCTGTGAACTCAAGGGTGATGATGATACACATAGTGGAATCGTGGGGGTCATCTGGAGTACACTGTCACTGGTATTCATTTATATTCTGACTTTAAAGATAAACTTGGAAGGTGCCTCTTACTTGCTCATTCTAGTAATTTCCTCATAATTTCTGCTAGAATGGGAAGCAAAAACAATTCAGGAGAACTGAGAACTGCAGAGTCTCATTGATCAGTGAAATGGATGTGCCACTCCTTCATATTTAAAGAAGATGTATTTGGGATGGGAATGACTTAACCCCAGTGGGAAGTTTTATCAATCTAGCCACATCACTTGCATAATAAGACAAGTATCTAGTTTTAAAAGTAAATGGAAAATTATACAATATCCGTCACTCACATAATCTATCTCCCTCAGTCCTTTGTGTTAAATTAATTGGGATAGATAAATTTTACATTCATCCTCCATTTTATGTGCAGTTCCTTTTTAGAAGGGAGGAACAAAGCAGAAATTAATATGGTGGAATATGGGGTGCCTGGGTGGCTCAGTCGGTTGAGCGTCGGGCTCTTGATTTTGGCTCAGGTCTTGATCTTGGGGTCATGAGATCGAGCCCCAGTAGGGGGCTCAGCGGGGAGTCTGCTTGTCCCTCTCCCTCTCCCACTTGTGCTCTCTCTCTCTCAAATAAAATCTTAAAAAAGTTAATTTGGTAGACCAAACAGTCTTCTAGAAGGAAGTTGGTGAGATCAGGATGTCTGGCAGGTACTCCTTTCTTCTATGTTAGATCTTATTTCTCAAGTGACTGATACTAAATCAGTTGGAGAAATGTAAGGTGGAAATTGTATGTACTACAAATGGTTCAATTCTTTTTTAAATTTTTAATGTTTAAATTTCTAAGGAGTCAAAGAAAGGGGATTTGCTTTTAAGCAGGACTTCTCCCAAGTGATGATCACATTTGACGATAAAGAAAGCTTCAGGCTGTATGAAAGTTCATATTGTTTAAGATTTAGGTGAGGGTTGGGAAAATAGAAACTTCTACTTGGGATACTACAGCACACTTTTCCTTGGGTGTGATGAAGAGTGGTGTTGTTCTGACCCGGAGAGCAGACTAGTCATTACTAAGTTTGTATATCGAATGGGGTAAGCTTATAAACATTCTCAATACCCACTTGCTAATAAAATAGTTTATGAGGACTTATAAAAGAAACCATATTTTTCAGTTATCTAAATTTTGGAAACTGTGAAGGGCCAAGAATCACCCTTAAACATTAAAGCATTGAGATCCCAAAGAATAGAGTGTTTATAACCACCTGTGCAGACGTGATCACTGGCAGATAGACGTGCCCATGTGAAGTTGTGATGGCAAGTCCTAAAGTGTGCAAGGCTTTGGTGAGCTTTCCTCTCTGACCGTGCATCATTTTTTTTTGGGGGGGAGGGTGACATACTTGCCATGATGTTACTCCTGAAGAGCCTCTCTATTTTTCACCTTCCACATGAAAAGAAGAAAAAGGTATTAAAAGTAAGTTAACTTTCCATATGGGGATTCTGAATACTGGAGAGAATAGAAGTTTAGTTACTAAAGAATGTGAATGGAATTATGAAAAATGTTCCAAAATTCAAAAGAGGAAAAAATAGGATTTGATCCATAAATTTTTACTAACCAGATACTTAGTTTCTCTTAATGTATTTCTTCATGGGAATAATATCTTCCACCCACATTTTTGAAAGTCAAAAACATGTAATGGATATGAAAGTTTTTAAAGTTTTAAAGCATAGACCATTGTTATAATTAGCTAAACCATACATTTATAGGTATTTTGATTAAAAAGTTATCAAATTGACCAATGCTGCCTATATATGCTGTCATTTTCCTATTACATAGTCTTAGAAATGAAACATTCCTACTGATAAAATGCTTTATTAATAAATCACATATATCCCATTTTTCCAGTGTATGAGGTGGTATATATTTTTTATTTTGTTGTACATAATTTTTAAAAGATTTATTTATTTATTTATTTAGAGAGAGAAGAGAGAGTGTGTGTGTGTGAGCATGAGTGA